CAAAGGCCAACACTCCCCCTTTTTGAAAGGCCAAGTTACGTGTGACTATGCTGTGTATTTATCCAACGTAATCACCTCCACCCAAGCGGTTACGGGGGCCGTGCTATAAAGAGGTGGTAAGAGCACGAGGTCAGAGATATGTAGAGAGGTTCAATCACAATGTGTTGGCTGGCGGTTTGTTACTCAAAGTTTTTCATAAGGGCCATACTGTCTTAAGTGGTAATCAAGTGGTATCCTTTTATTATCTATGACTTTATTTAAGGGCGGCCCGGTGGTTAGCAACATCGCCTCACAGCAAGAGGGTTCTGGGTTCGAACCCTAACCCTAACCCTTTCTTTGTGGATGTTCTGCCTGGGTTCTCTCTGGGTTTTTCGGGTTCCTCCCACTGTCCAAAAACCTGCACGTTAGGTTGATTGGACATTTAGGAGTGAGTGTGGTTGTTGGTCGTTGCGTGTCTCTGTGTGACCCTGCGATGGACTAGAGGACCGTCAAGGGCGAACCCAACCTCTCGCCCATTGACTACTGGGATAGGCTCCAGTCCCCCCGTGACCCCATTAAGGAATAAGCGGTTCAGAAAATGGATGGATGGATGGACTTTGTTTAATGAAAAGCTAAAACTAAGAGCTAAAAACTGTACTGTAGTTTGTAAGCCAATGTGACACGATAAATAAACTCCTCTCCTGCTCGATTGTGGTACGTTGTTGCTGAAACAATGACCGGTATCAGGCACGTGATCGTATTCCAAGATCCATAAATTAATTTGGCTTAAAGTTTTAATATTTACTAATGTGTAGTTACTGTGGAGGGGTTTAAATATGTGAACATCTACAGGATTTGAACGTCTGAAATCTCTTCTCAGATTTCATCCACAAGTTCAAAACTCCTGTTGATTCGCTGTATTGGGCCCAATGGGGCTAATTTGTAAGAGTTGTCATCAACACACTATTGAGTATTTACCCAGTTAAAAAGGCTTATTCCCCAGTTTCATTTTCGGTGGGAGAGCCTCGACTGCTCTCCTTTTCTCCTGTTCCTGGCTTTATTCTTTTCCTACACTAATAGGCAGTGTACTTTATGGCTTTATGTTTGCTCCACCGTCTCCTTTTTCACTCAAAAGACGGTCAGGCATGTGAAAAATACGCAAATTTGCAAAGAATGAAATAGCAGGTGTTCTCGGGATTTGACCCAGATGTTGCATGGACATGTGTGGCACGATGAAAAAAGGAGTCGAGAAACGAGCCGCGTGGTGGACGAACAAAGTCAGGATGTGGTGGACGTCTCCTTAGGCCAAAGGAAGTGGGGCAGATGAACGAGCAGTGAGTCAGAAAAGGAGGGAGGAAAACAGAGGTGGCTTTGTAGAGAACCGAGTGTCTGAAAGATCTGTTGAGAAGGCCTTTTGACCAATGAGAGGCATGAGGATCAAGAACGATGAATGTTCGAACACATCGGAGAACGGCACGAGGTTGAGTGCTTCAAGATTCAAGATTCTTCTTGTGCCGTTTGTAGACATGTGCTGAGCATAACCGCTATGGGCCACCTTTAGAATGACCACAAAGGCAGGTTCATTTGTATATTGCATATACTGGACAATTCAAAGTGCTTTAGAAAGAGCTTAAAAGCACAAAGCAAAGAAAGAATACTAATTGGCATAATAAATTAGATGGATTCAAAGTGAGGTATGCGGGTAAAATACATTCACTGTCCATATGTACAGTTAAATAGTACTGATTTCAGCCTGGATTTAAACATTGCCAGAGTTGAAGAAGATTATTCTAGATTTTAGGAGCATAAAACTGACACGAACCCTCTCCTTGTTTTGGTTCCGACTCAGGGAACCAGCAGGAGACCAGGACCCGAGGCTCGCAGAGTCTGAGCTGGCTGATACGGCTCAAAGGGTTGTCGCTTGACCACGAAGATGTCACGTCTGGGGGAATGTCTGGTGTCTTGTCATGTCTTGATTACCTATTGTGTACACCTGGGGTTCCCCTCCCTCATGTGTTTAAATAGTCCTCGTTTGCCATGTCCTGGGCCAGTGCGTCTTTCGTCTTTCTGTTCTCGTCACCCCTCGCCACGTCAGGTTAGATTTTTTTGTCACAGCCATGCCATAGCTTAGTTTACTTTATTGCCATAGCCTTTGTTTTTGCCACAGCCATGTTAATCTTGTTTGTGCTTTGCCATAGCCACATTTTTTGTCATAGCCATGTTTTGCCACAGCCTTGCCACAGTTTTGTTAATCTTTATTTGTTACTTTGCCATAGGCTGGTTTACCTTATTTGATACTTTGTGTTCATAGTCATGTTTAATCTTGATTTGATACTTTGTTCATAGTTTTGCCACAGCCTGGTTTTTTAACCTTGTCCTGTCATCCACTCTCTTGAGTGCGTTTTTTGTTAAAATAAACCTTTTTCACGAATCTCCGCGCCTGAGTCCTCCTCCAAGACCCACTTCTCTGACAGAAGAGACTTTTACGCAGAGTCTGTTCTCAGAGCAACGGGAAGCCAGAGCAGAGACCTGAGCTCTGGACTCATGCGGTCGTATCACAGCGGCCATGTGACCGCATTTGAACAAGATTTGAACTTTCAAATGATGCCATTCTGCATAGATGTGTCACATAGGGGAGTGCGTATGGGCTGCTCTGTCATCAAAAGGCTTCAAACTGAGTAGGAGCAACAATAAGCAGAGCAGGGGCATTCACTGTTCACAAAATCTGTGGGAGTTAGGGGCTTTTTTGTGTGTGTGTCTCATTAAGACGTCTGGAAAAATGGGTTAATTTGTCACACAATACCTCATCCATCTGGTCTTATCATCACCGTAATGGGATTCGGTCAAATTAAAGTCCGATTATTCTTCTGTCCACTGCAATACATACCATTCTTGTAAGTTCACCTCAATAATTTTGGCCTCGAGGCCTTCAGGACATTGGTTGCTCGGCTTACCTCTTCCCTACTTCCACACTTTGATCTTTTTTAAACAGATGAGTGGAGATGCTGAATAACAATATAGAAACCTGGTGGGTAGCAGGCCAACAGCTGAATGGACAAACCGAAGGGCTTTTACCAAAAGCGGGAGTATTTCTGTCTCGAGGAAAAATCGCATGCGTTGGGATTTACGAGCCTGAGGTTGCAGAAATAGAGAATAACTACATTAAGAACAAACCGACGGTCCTATAATTCTTTTGTTTTTTTTGGCCAAATAGTTTTTAACATCTGAAGACAGTAATCTTCGTCCCTAGATGGAGATTTGTTTGGAGATCTGGACATGCCCCCATTAACTGCATTAATGCGCTTTAAATGGGAGCAGCCGGCAGCGCGTTTAGCTCCCAGATGTTAATGGGTGTAACCGAGTGTGAAACTGGCTTTTCTGATAAAGAACATGTGCACGATGCTTTACATTCGCCTTTACCACTAAAGATGGATCTTGTCAGCGTTTTTTTTCGTCTTTTCTTTCAAAGCTCCGTCGACTGATCTGAGTATTTCTGTCACCGAGAGCATTAAAACTTTAAGTTAAAGCAATCGCAAAGTCTTTTGACATCAATCATAAAACTTATCGGCCTCAGACTAACTTTGAGCAACGTCTAAATACTGTATATTTTCCCCCCTGTGCTCTTGACACATGACGTATTGGATGGCTGTCGTTAAAATGAATAAACCTCTCCTGATCCTTTCCGCTTCGCGGGACGGCAACAGACCGCAGCCCTGCGGTTCTCTGCTTAAGTTGTTTTGCTTTCCCGAAGCGGCGGAGATGTATGAGGAGGATTTCCGCTGAAAGAGCTGTCGAATTTCTCCCCCTCTCGAGCCGGGGGCCTCCCACGCCGAGCTGCGTCGAAACTCCTCGTCCTTCCTCTGATTCCCTCGTTTTTTTGCCTGAAAACTTGTGCTAGCACATGTGCACGCACACCTACTTACTCCCTCACCTTCCATGGGTCTCACATGACAGACTGAACTTTTACTCCCCTTTGACTTCTTCCTTTTCACCGACACCCCCTCAATTACCTTTTTTTCCTTTTTTTTTTGGGCCGCATCTGTTGTCTTTTCGGCTCCCCTCCAGAAAAAAGTGGAATTCTTTTTTAAACAGTTCTATTAAAACGTACTATAATCAATGTCATCGTTTAAAAAAAAATTTTTTTTAGCCCGGATATGATTTTGATTACAATATCCTTTTTCTCTCAACAGTAATAAGTCAAACCTGATATGTTCCCCTCCAGGTTTCAGACAGAGCTGGGGGGCTTTTTCCAGACACACAGTTTCTGTCAACGAATACTTACAACTGCAGTCACGATGGATTCGAAGCTGTTTTGGAAAGCAACACTACACACCTTTAATCCTACATTGGTGGAATTGTATTTTTGGCGTTTAACAAAACCATATTTGAACTGGATAATAGAAAAGAGGACAGTGCTGTTCCGTCCTAAATGCAAACACTGGACATTTTAATGGTTAAGAGGTTGGGATTTACACAAAGATGCATAGTCCCACTCGAAATCAAGTATCTCACGTTGTTTAAACAATGAAAAAAAATCCCCATGAGTGGCCTGAGAGGAGCCTGTAGGGGTCAGGAGGACTCCCCTGTTGGTGAATAAGCAGAGGCCCGTGTGTGGGTACGCGTGTCCATCAGGGCGACTGCACACATACGTGCTCACGCAGCCCTCGCGCCGATTTCCCTGGCATAATTAGAAACATTTGGGATCATTTGCAAAAGGGGGAACACAAGCTCTGATGGGATCCAGATGCACGGCTGTGTTTTACCCAAAAAAATGCGGGAACCCTTATTTACAAGGGGCCATTGCTGGCTCTCCGTTCAGGGAGCTGTGTGTGTGTGTGTTTCCTAGTTTGACAGCACACTAGATGGATCTTTGGGAACGATTTGAGACTCAGTCTTAGGGTTTTCATTTTTGGTGAGAAAATTAGGATTTCTGTTCATAAGGTGAGCCTCGTTGGAAGAAATAGACAAAGATGGTTGTACCCCTTTTTAATGAAATGTGAACAGTTCCTTTAACAAAAAAGAAACAAACAAAAAAAAAACAGTCCACTTCCTCAGTTTTGAGTCATCTTCATTTGCAACCTTTTTAATGGATATCCTCTGAAAATGGAAAAACAGTCACATCATTAGATATATTTCTCTGAATGGCAAAATTCTGAAAACTTGTTCATACAAAGAGTGTCACATGTTGGGAAATGCTGCCACCTCGTGGCCAATATGGACAATGATTCTTAATTTTCCATTTTATCTTACATCTAAGTTCATCTTCTAATAATACTCTGTGACTCTTCATAAAGCCACTTACCTATAATGGAGGTGTTCGCTCCTGTAAGATGCGATTTTCCTCTGACGTTTCTCCTCTCCAGTCCTATCGTGGTCGTCTTTTTATCCAAACAAAAGAGAGAAAAAAATCAAACCTCATTGTTTGTCAAAACAATGAGGGCATTATAGACATTTCATGACATTTCAAACTTACACATCTTTGCTGTGTTTATGGCTTATCCCTCTGGAACAAAAAAAGCCCTAAAATTGTTGGGTTTCTGTAGTTAACTTAAGAGCAGGGTCTGACCTGCTCTGTTTGGAAAGCGCTTTGAGACAACTGTTGTTGTGATGTGGCGCTATATAAAATTTTTTTAATTGAATTGAATTGAATTAAAAACAGAGAATTTTTATCATCTCCTGCTGAAACTATGAGCACATGCAGAGAAAGCTTGAAAGCATCAACAACCTGGAAAGAGGGATTCTCGAGCCCTTTCTGCCATTTTGTTTTTCAGATTCATATCTATCTTCTTCCCTCTTCTTCTGTGTGTTCCTCGGGAATAAACATAATTGCTTCATGTGAGACGATGAAGGTTAGATGGTTTAAGTTCGACATTGAAACGGCTTTGTAAAAAGAAGCATCATCAGGGACGGTGAGGTATCGCAGCCCTCCCTTGAACTCTGTGTTGTTGTGGAAAAATCACAGTGAAAGGGTTCCTGGTTCTCACCTGGGCTGTGTGAAAGCTCTCCCTGTGCCCACAGGGGTGCTTCACACTGTATTTTAGATGAATTATTCTGTGAGATGTCTGTGAGAGTGAATGTGAGGCTGTTCGTCGAGGGGGATAGAAAATGGATGGATGTAAAGCTCTCCTGACATTTTTCACATTTGCCTTGTGTTACATGTCCCGGCTGTTTCCCATTAAACCCTGCATGTCCGAGGGGGAACCTTTGAGACCCCACCCGTCTTCAGATATGACACACTGGTGTCTGAACTCAATGTTGGTGTGTGAAACATTTCCTCTCGATGAGGTTGAGCAACGCCACGTTAATTTCGGGTCAGACAGAGATGTACAGTAACGAAGTAGAACTACTTAAGTACTGTACGTAAGTACCAAAATGCAGTGTCTGTACTTTATTGGAGCATATATTTTTTCCCTACTTTTACTTTTAATCCACTACATATTTTTGATTAATTGAATACTTTTACTTTTACTTTCATGGGCTGAATGGTTACTCGTTACTAATACGTAAACGTAATGAATCATCCCCAAGTCAGAGTGTCAATGCCAAGCATAGCCCCTCTGGCCTTTTGAGATGTTTTATTTGTGTTTTGTTTCTGTTTTTTGCAAACGCCTGTATGGCCTTTCACACGTTTGAAATAATATAAACAATATCTAGCAAACTTTTGACTGCCTTTTTTTTAATATACACTGTACTTTTAATTTTACTTATACTTGTACTTTCAATACTTGAGTAGCAATTTTTGAAATACTTCTACTTGCAATACTAAAGTACAAAAAAAATTGAGTACTTCCGTACTTCCACTTAAGTATGGTGTTAAAAGAACACTTCAACTTTTACTCAAGTCAATTTTTTTATATAGTACTTGTACTCCTACTCCACTCCTCTACTCCAGTACTGTATTTTCCTTTTCCGCTCCGTGGGAGCCTGTTGATAAAGATCGGCTTAATGCACCTGTCGACCCGATCGGAGGACCTTGGTCAGCCGCCACTTCCTGTGTCGCCGTTGTTATTTTTTTCGGAACCTGCGCCCGATGGGGTCGTCGCTCATATGCTGCTGAACTGGTCCATGGAGGGAAGGGTCCCTGCGGGTCACGGAGAGGTTGTGGAAATGAGCCCATTGTTTTTGAACGCGCACGGGTCAGAACGTTGGGATATTTTGGGGGGTAACTCACCCGGCGCCGGTCGACAGAGGGTCAGTCGAACATCGGGTGGGGAAGTCTTGAACAGCTTCAGCACCTTCTATTAAAAAGGACCAGGGCAGAGAAAGCTATCCAGCATCGACCGTAAGAGCCAAACAGGGATATGCGATCTGTTCTTCCACAGTATATTTAATTAAGTCTATCTATACAGAAATAATGCTATACTAATAAGTTCTGAAGTAATTACTGGTAATCATATAACAGCATAATGATCCTTAATGAAGAGGTGGATAATCTTATCTGGCGTCCTCTAAGTTTATTAGGAGATTATTACGGGTATAAATGATGAATGAGGTTCACTGTGCTCGTACCGGATAAGACAGGTCTTTGAGGGACTGGCCGTTGATGGCCAGCAGAACGTCTCCCTCCTGTATGCGGCCGCTCTGCTCGGCCGGCTGACCGGGAAAAAGCTCCTTTATCCGGACCAGGCTGCCAAAGTCCCGAGTGGGCGGGTCCAGCTCGCACATCAGGAAGCTAAAGCCCAGGCCGTTGGCGCTCTTGGTCAAAGTCACTTCCTGGGTGTTTTCTTGGGGGTTATAGAGCCGGGAGAGGTGACGATTAGACCAAACAGAGCAGACACATGGAGGTAAAGCAGGAAAGAAAGCAAAGGCAAGTGATGAGGGGATATAGCTGACATTTTTTCTGTTTTTATTTTAATTTTTTTAATTAAATTAGTCCTTTTCAAAGTAACAATCACATGTGAATTTTAATCTGAAGAGCAGAACTTGTGACTTTTGACTAATACTAATACTAAATGATTTCTTCTTAAAAGGCCTTACATTTTGGTCCCATTTTGTTAATTAACACTGAAACGATCTGTTGCTATTTCATATATTCCCCATCTTAGTTTTTGTGACAGCTTTTATTTCAAAAGGAGAATTCTTTTTTTTCCATTTATTTTCTTATTCACCTAAAGTTGGTCTTTCCAATCAGTGCGACACAACACCTGAAAATCAAACGCAGTTTGGAAATAAACAAAACCAAAAATCCGACCTCAAATAAATGGGAATTTACAGTAAGCATCTTTGCTAAAAAATTCCGGATCCAAAAATTGGACTGGTCTAATTCAAACGACTGACAAATCCTGCTGTCTAGTCAGTGAAAGAAACCCACAATGAGTTTTTGGGTCTTCTCATAGATAATCTTCCTCACTCTGTGAACATTTTGGAGTGTTTACTTGCTATTGAGCCACCTGAAGACGTGTGCATTTCAGGTGCCAGGCCTACCATCCGTAACAAAGCCGTACTGTCTGGATCGGTGATGTGTTGAGCTGGGGGGGGTACTGACAGACGAGCAGCTGTTGAGTCTCGTGTGGCTGGTGACCGGACTGAGGCTCTGATTGGACACGCTGCTGCCGTCTGCACTGACCGAAACCTTGGGTAGGATGACAGACGCCCGCTCCACAACCAAGTAGACCACCTGGGCAGGGGAAAGATGGACACTGAGAGTTACGAGAACCTGACTTAAGAGCCATTTAATCGGATGAGGAAACTGGAGCTACTTTAGGTTCTTACATTTGGGCAGCACCATTGTAAGTTTTCACTGAAACCAAGAAAGTTCCGTCCATTTTGTGGTTTGAAAAAGATTCTGAAGAGAATCTGGTGACATCATTGGCTAAATAGGGTATCACCGAAATATACCCCCTGGGGATGATGAACTGTTGTTTCATTGAAACTTACCAAATAGTGGTTATTACCATTCGTAAGTCACCACCCTTAGTATGTCATCATCTGCAAACAAAGAAACACTGGACATTTGCTGTGATTTACCTCTCCAGTTTTACTCAGACACTCGACAGCTTGTTGGTAGGTATAGTCATGGAAGTTTATTCCGTCCACTTCAATAAGTCTATCACCTGTGACAAAAAAAAAAAAGATGTTATAGAATAAGAAGTTTAACTTGTATCTCACATGAGGTTTCTTGTTGATTTGTCCCTTAATGAGTTTTATTCAAGTTATAACACCTTAAAGGTAACTGCTATTACTAAAAGCATTCTATTCTATAAGTAATGGTAGGTATGGTGAGTAAATAACTGTTCTCACTGTGAAAATGATTTTTTTCCAAAGAAAGCATATGTAAATAGTTAATTATTTTACATATAGAACTGTAATACCTGCGTGTAAACGTCCATCCCGCTCAGCAGCTCCTCCTGGAACAAGGCTCTTGATGTAGATTTTTCCATTAGGGAGGTTAGTGTTCACGCCACCCTGTCCGATCGCATAGGGGTTAGTGATACGGTTATTAAAATACTGAGAAAAACCTCGCTAAGGGTCTGTATTTAGATTCTGTTACACTGACATTATTGCTTAGTCCGGACTTAATTTGAAATAACGCATCTGTTTTAATTTCTTCCTCTCTGCTGGTTAGACTCACACTTCCGTCCAATAAATGTAGAACTTTCCAAAATAATAATCATTATTAAAGTTAGCTTGGTATAATTTTCAGTATCATAAATCTATCATAAACTGGTTAATACTTTGTGACTACTGGCTCTTTCATTCTGAAATCATTAATTATACAGGATAGAGCTTTTACGTGACAAAAGACATTACAGGTTGAAAAGCCCTTAATACTTTTACGGTAAAGTGTTTGTTCTTTTTTTTTTGCACTAATTATCAGTGTTAGTGGAGTACATCTTACTCTGTCTCTCTAATCCTGTCAGACCACAAATGTTAATCAGCTTGAGCCTGAGCAGACTTTGTGGCCTACTGCTGGAGATGACTCACTGTGGCAAATTTTCCTCCCTGACTGTCCATTCCTTGCTGTTCAAATCAAATTCTTGCATTGTAAGCACACCGGTTGTATGGATGGAGATACCAAAACCAGCGTCTCCGGAAGCAGAACCCAGCCTAATTGCACTGCAAATCTCCTTTAACATTTGCCATCTGGGGCTCAAACGTTCACCCATGATGTTATGAACTCACAGAGATGCTAATGCCCAGATTTCCTGATATCTTTCTGAGCTCCACGGCAATCTCTTCTGACTTCACACAGCTCAGTGAAGGGGGCAGTGGGCAGCTGTCCTAAGGCCAGAAGAGACATTGAAAATACTATGAGTCTCACAGAATCAAGTGTACAAGTGGAAGAAATAGCACTAGTAAACAATTTCTATGGAAATATACTGTGAATAATTTGAAAAACAATCACGATAACTCTACCTGTGCGCTGGGGACTTGTACCGGAGGGGGAACATGAAGCCTGTTGACGGTCTTTGGCGTCCTTGTGTCTGAAACAATCTCATCAAGACTGTCATCTCTTGATCGTCCATCCGTCATGAGTGTCGTTTGGGACTCGTACTTTCTCAGCACAGGAGAACGCAGACTACTGGGACTGATGGGAACTTTATTAGAAGCAAAAAAAGATAAATTAATAAATAAAAGAATCAGTTTTGTTATTCCGGACCACGTGGAATACAACAAAGATCGATGCCATTCTCACATCTGTCTGAAGGCCAAAGCAGATAGCTTTAAGACTAAGAAGAACGCTGTTGTTTATTTGGTTACTCGCATAAATGTGTTCGCTCACAAACATGCAGTTTCACAGGCCAAATGCAAGCCGCAAAAAATAAACTTCACCACGTCTATGACAATTTTCCTAAAATTGACAATGTTTGTGCAAAGATAAGCTAAACGGTTTTTAGTTTTGTTTAGTTTTGAATATAAATGTCTACTAACATTTGGATAGGAGGCCAAAGGTTCATTGTCCAAATTCTTGAGGCTAATAGAATTATTGGATGAAAATTATATTCATAAAAAAAAAACACAATAGTTTGATATGTGACTTTTTTATGTGTACCCAAGTGCGAACACACATGCTAGCACGGTTAGCATAAGATAATCTTACTGCCACCTCAGATGTATGTATTTTGTTCACGGTTTAATTTATCAAATCAAAATTTAAAAGGCTTGTGTTGAAATTTTACAGCTATTTGTCTTATTTGTTTATTTTTTCATTTAAACGATAATTGTTTTGACATTTTAAGGTAATGTAAACTGTCAAAGAGTTTGTGTCCATGCATTCCTTCAGTTCTACTGCAGGATAACATACACACACACATCCTAATGCAACAGGTAGCTATATATGATGATATTTTTTACGATGAGGACCAAGGTTGGAACTGATTTGAACCTTTACTGTAAAGTTTGTCATCACAAACTAACATCACCACTAGTCAACAACGTGACAAAATGGGTCAGGGTTAGGGTATAGTGACACCACTAATGAACAGTAACGATTCAGCTTTTTTTGGAAGGGCCGGTGAATCAGCTGGACAGGCTAATTACTCATTGGACAATATTCCGTGCAAAATGAAAGCACGGCCACAACGCCGTCACACTTGGAACCGCGCTTGCATTCACACAGAGCACCTTTTGGCTGCGAGACGATGAGCTGGACCTCTTCGGGGCTGTTCTGCATAACCTCTGCCGCTTCGTTAAAAGTGACTCCCTCCAGGCTGATGTGGTTCAGTGAGATCAGGCGACCACCTGAAAGCAAATACCAGAGCAAAAAGGCGTTTTGGTCGAGCAACTATGCTATTTAAACAGAATGCAGCACCAAACGTACAACTGAATCCTGGGGACAAACATAATCTAATTACATCTGTGTCCAACTTTGAATCAAAATAATTTGAGGCCGCAGGAGAATAAACCACAGCCGTTTCTTTTTTCTTGATGGGAAAACAAAGACTTGTGGGTTTCTACCTGCTCTCATGCGTCCATCCTTATCGGCAGGTCCACCGGGGACTATAGAGGCAATAAAAATCCCCAGATCATACCGCCCCACTGTCTCCTCTCCAACTATCACTATACCTGTATGGACACAAATGACAAAGCCAACATATTTCTCAACATGTCGTTGCTTGGAAACCATTTGCATACACACAAAATATGATGATCTTAAAACACTTGATTAAAAAAATGAAAGGGACAAAATCTTACCCAGGCCAAGTTTTGGATCTTTCTTTAAGGAAACACATATGACTTCTCTCTCTGATGAAGCGTTAAGTTTAGGTGGAGTTTCTGCAGGTCATACAGTTGGGGGAAAAAAGCCGATTTTAATGTATGAAAGAGAATATAGACAGTAACTTTTTCCCACAATGAAATGCTACAGATCAGAACCAGAGCTAAAGAGGTAAATGGTAAAAAGGTAAATGGACTGTACCCCCATGGCACTTCTCCACTCAAAAAGAATCTACAATGCTCTACAATGCATGTCATTCCCCCTTTCACATGAACACACACACCCTGGTGGATACACTGATAGTCAACTTGGGGTTTGGTGCCTTGCCCAACGACTCTTTGACTTGTGGCCCGAGGCAACACGGAGTCAAACTGCTGACCCCACGATCGGTATGGAAGCTGCCCTTTACTCCTGGCCCACAGCCGCCCCATCGACCAGTCAACATGTAGCTTGTTGGCTGTAAGAGCGCAGCTGTATGCTTTGGTCCTGCCGTACCTCTGGCAGCCGGGGATCCAGACGGGGCTTCGGACCCACTCCTCTGAGAGCACGCCGGGGAACGCATGCTCGCGCTGCTGCGCAGGCTGCTGGAACAGCCACTACAAATTAAGGAAAATTCCGTATGGTTATATCATAAACGGATGGATAATTTGAAAAAAAAAAAACCTGGTTCAGGGGTTATAGTGTTATCAAGTCCATACCTCGGATGTTTCACTCTCGCCTCGATTCTGGCCGCGACGTCATCGCACAGTTTGGGTAAGGGCTCTTCCTGAGGGGTGGTCAGGCCGCTGTCGTCTTGGGGCGTCTCGGAACACGACAGAGACTTGAGATGGCTGCTCTGAGCCCGGCACACCGTAGCGTACTGCACTATGTTGTCCTCTGGACAAAGATGGAGGATGGATAAGCTTCAGTAATTGGATGCTATGAGCAAAAGGAGCTGCCGGTTAGCAGAACGGGTGTCTTTTTTAAGCTGGAAACGAGGCTGTTGGAGATGGGAACTACGAAGGCAGGAGGCACAAATGCGTGGCTTCGGTTACTTGCCTGAGACGAGGCTGTGGCTTAGCTGGCGGGAATTCATCTCATTGGTAAACTTGTGTTGAGCCGAGCAGAGGTCACACAGATATGTGGCGATCCTGGACCTTTCTGTGATGAAAGTGTACTTCTTCTTGCTGCCTCGGCATTCTATTATGAATTTACGCCTCTGTAAAAACGTAAGGTAGCTCATTTCAGCACAAGAGAGGAAGATTAGATGATCGACTTGTTACTATCTACTCACGTTAGAGGATATGGTAGCCGTTTCCCTCCAGTAGAAATTCTGCACGGTGGATCTGCACCCGTCTTTTACTTCGTAGATGATTACGCCTTTGGCACAAACCCCGAGGATGATCTCTCCATCTAAAGGCTTTTTCTCTCGTATTGCACGGTGGAACAGGACACCATACTCGGGCAACTGCTGACACACCTATAAAGGAAGGAATAGGAATCATAGTTATATACTTACAAAACTCCCAAATCTTTGATCAATGCTGTATAAAAACAGAATACAGTGACAATGGAAATGTCTTAAAACACAGAAATCATCAAAATGCTGATCATGAAAAAATGCTAGTACCTTGAATTTGATATAGGTAATACAATAGAACAGTGAATCAAACATGGGTTTGTAGGATTGGCATTTTAGGACATTCTCTCCTTATTTACAGTTCACACAGAATACCAACACTTTGGAAATGTAATGCAAGGGTGACTTGGCTCAAATTCTAGATGGTTTTTCTACCTTCAGGAATTCAAGCTCTGATTCATCTGAGAGCATCTGAGCATTGTTGGCATGGAGGCGCAGCAGCTCCCCGTGAATGTAAGGCAAGGCACGTTTTTCCATAACACTCTTGGAGACATACTGATCAGGCCGATAGTAATTCCTACCATAGACCTAAACGGAGCAGAAAATCTTTTTTAAACGACAGAATACAACACATTTCAAATTTACTGTGTAATACCACGTCTTTGATGTTGGAATATATAAGCCTTTCATAAATATGGGCTTATGAAAATGGGGCTCGCACTGATAAGGTTCTTCCTTTGTGGCTGTGGAAAATTAGAATAACTTATATCATTAAGTTTGAAAACTACATTTCCGTCTTATAAAATCCTAATTATGGATATGAGGGACGGGAAGGGCCACGGCAGATTAAGTTGTTGAAACGGGGTAGCGAAAGTAAAGATTTCTCAACCTTTTCAAATGAATCTCTCGTGAGTCACTCAACTGTAACTTTAATTTTTGCTTTTAATGCACAACCTCAGGCATGCAGTCTCCATACTCTGTCTGCAGGGCCAGACCTCCCAGGTACAGAGCAGTCTCCTCGTGGCAGGACAGCCTGTTATCTAAAAGGTCTCTCCTGAGCTGGAGGTAATACTGATGACGCGTCTGTTTGTGCCTGATGGGAGGAGATTGCATCAGTTTGAGTGTTAATTGTTTCATTAAATTGCCATAGCAAGGCTTGTTTTCTCATGAAAAGGATGTTATATTTTAAAATGAAATTAAATGAGATGAAAAAGATATCGCTATGGCTGTCAAACAGCAGTGTAAATGCCAAAACATATGGATGACATCTTGAGAAATTAAGATCAAGAAAAACTTACAAAAGAAGACCGACGTCATTGACGAAGAATTTGATCCTGAAGAAAAGGACAAAGGTGGTGGTAGGCACTTTTTTCCAAGTATCTGGTGCGACTTTGGAGATCTTGGTATCATTGTCCACAAAGAAAAACTCATTATCTGACCAGAGAATAAAGAAGAGACCAGAGAAAAAATCAAAAAGACTAGTGAATGACATTAAAGACCACAAAATCTAACACAAGCCATCACACAGATTAGCACCATTGTTCCTTGTTGTCCTGTGAACATGCTGAGCTGAAGGTATTCTAAAAAAACGTTTTTTACCATCAAAGTAAGCAAGGCCAAAGTAGAAATGTTCCACAAGGTTTGAATGAGCCACAATCATGTCGAAGACGTCCCCTGCCCTGGACTTCACTTCACACTTGACCAGGATGCTCTGGCCGTTTGGCATCACCACGCTGAGCTCTCTGTGGGTGGTTGGAGATTTCCCTTTCTTGGACTATGGGGATGGAAACAGGTTGTGTACTGTAACCGTGCAGAGATGAATCGTAGATTTAACCCCGTACAACTGCATTCTTTGGGGTAGCAGCTCACCAGTATGGATCCAGGCAACTCCAAGACAACCATAGGCTCATCTAATGGTCTCAAAAACTCAGGACCCATGTCCTGCAACAGGTAGGGTAGGTCACTCAGAGATAGATCGTTAAAATCGGGTCAAATTAGTTTTTAACAAATCCATCCCCACCTTCAGTTTCTTGTCGTTCAGACTCATCGTGGACTCAAACTGTGCGAGGGATCGGGAGTTGGTGTTCTGATTGCCGTCCATGTATGGACCGCAGGGGCTGCGATTCAGCTGCTGCCAGCTGGTGATACTGTCCCTGAGTCGCCCTCCAGCGTGAATCCTAAAAGAAGAACCAGATTTCCGTTGTCATTATGACGGATGGCGAGATCTGTCACACATAAGACGATGACTTGTGTTACAGTTCTTATTGAATAATCTTTGTAAAAGTGTAGCTTCCAAGCCAGTAAGTTTAACTTGATTGACTGTCAAGTGAAACATATGCGTTGCTTTGGACTTTGACTAAAAAGTGTAAATGTATGAGTCATTGACAGCGTATTATGTTCCTAAACCTTCCACTCTAGAATAGATGAAACACAAAGATTGTTTTTTACCCTGTGGAATCGACTGGATAAGATACCCCTGAGAGCGTTCTAGGGATCTTCTTCTTCTGGGTCCAAGTGGAGTTGCTAAAAGAGCCTCCTGAAAAAACAAACTGGTGTTGTAACTGCCAGACAAGAACATAAATGAAGAATTTTGGCATTGGCAAAAATCTGAAAATATCTGTGTGTTGGAGTTTGACAAACTGGTTGGAATTTTTTATTTTTTATTTATGGGATTAGCTTTATTAATTGGAACCAGGGGATTTCCACTTGTTAAACGTATTGATCTGTTTCACCTCTCGGCAAGAGTCAATAGGCACATTCCTGTAAAAAGCCTAACTTTACATCTGGCAAATAGGATCAGTTTCTTACTGTGCAATCTGTCCCTGACCACCTGACTGCGGTCTGTTAGCTGGGATCCATTTTCAGTCACGGACACATGATCAACCTGCAAAGACATCACCGTCCAGCTCATAGAAACAAGCAGAGATGTTCAAAAAGCTCTAGTATGAGACCGAACAAAAAGAAGAAGAGGACGCTCAACATGAACTCATCTCACAGGCTCAGAGGAAGTTGAACAAATGAATGGCCACTCACTGAGTTTCTGTAGACATCTTCTACCAGCTGCCGGATGAGCCGCTGGACAGGAGGCAGCATGGAGGTCTTGTGGTGAAGCTCGCAGGTCTCCAGCACCGTCAGAAGGTCGGTCCTCCTCATTGCCATGTCCTCACACATGCTCAGGAGCAAACCCTCCAGCTCAGGGCTCATCTGGACCGGCTGCGGAGAGAAACAGGCCACACCGAAATGGATCGTGTGCATGTTCTGGGAAAACTAAAGAGCGGCCATGAGCATTTGGCATAAGAATTGGCGTCTGAAGGAATTTACCTGGTTTTGAGGTAGATGATAGTCAACGCACCAATAAAGAGTCATCCCCAGTGAGTACACGACCATCTGAGGAACAAATACAGACTAAATGTTTCACATATTTTTCAGCAAAATCGGAAAAACAGTTGACATGTATCTTATTCCACTGGTACAAAATGAGTATTCCGTCTTAATTGCTGTAAAACAAGTATGACCTAAATTTTGGCGGTAGTAAAGTATAAAACATTTGAATTTTGGCTCATGTCACTGATGATAGGATGCGCTTGTCAGAGTTAATGGAAAAGGTCTCAGATTTGCTCAGTGCTGACAGGAGAAAATGTCCACTACCAAAACTACAGACGCATTAGATTCCTCCATGTGTCTTAACTCTACTTTCCTGTATGAGTTAGAATTCCAGGTTCTAACTCGTACAGGCCAAGAAACACAAAGACATCCATTTGCTCTCTGACCTTTTCAGCCGCAGACCTGGTGGAGGACGGGTGACCCTGCTGGACCTCGGGAGGCGTGAAGGAGGCCACGTCTTCATATCGCGCACAGCTCTTGAAGGCCAGACCTCCGCTGGCTGACAGCAACACTGAGCCAGGGCTCAAAACAGTGCACAGGTTGCTTGAACCTAAACAGAAAGCGCAGCAAAAACAGGTTGTAAAAATGTTTGACAGCTTTGCCATACGTTAGCTAAGAGCTTTATGTCCACTTATGCTTTTTTCGTTGCCATTCCATAACCCCACAGTGCTTAACTGCTTAAAGAAAACCTAGATTTTCCAACCTTTTTTGGAGATATCCAGTAAGGTATCAGCCGTGGCGAGCAGCAGACACCACACCTCATCCTCCTCTAGTGGTGATCCCCGAGCCTCCAAGACTTCTGTCAGGGTCACAAATGTACCCATCCTGCTGATATACACAGAGGCACACAACCAAGCCCCCGCATAAATACACCCCAGTGTCGTACAGGTATGCAATTATTTCAAGTGATTAACAGACTGAGAGGAGTTGAGACGGCGGTAAGTTCTTGCTGCTGTTTCCGACTCGAACAGAATACCCTCATAAACAGCAATAAATCGTAAAAGGGAGTTTTGGTTGTAGTCAGTAATTGCTTTAGGCAATACAGTACAGAAAGACCCTGAAAAGGTTTGGCATTTTTTTTTATTGTCAAATCAAGAAACTCATTATCAGAGTTTTTTGAACAGCACATGATGACCATTCAACCAAAACTGTTCTAAAAGTGGTTTAGCAGTTTTTTCCCCCCATTGTTTGTGAGTAGAAATTAAGCTCAGCAATCATATATAATTCTAAACAATACATGCTAAAATATTACTATAATCACTAATAAAAACAACTTAATTGAGCCCTAAAGATTAAATATATTGCATCAGTTATTAATATATATATTATCATTTATCATTATTATGAATTATAATTTATTTATTTATTATTATTAAGTATTATTATTATTATTATTATTATTTATTTATATTTCTTAAGAAAAAAAACAGCAAAATCCACTGACAGGTGGTTGAGTTGATAAAATCCTCTGTCTTGTTTTCGTAGCTCGGCAACTATGCTGCTGATGTCACACAGCAGGTAACTCAGATGAACTCTCTCAGTGGACGACACGGACTAAAACTCACAGCCAACACTTGAACATCCGGCGTACAGAGACAGTCAGTGACATGTCAAGGATTACGCCATCTGTTTTTAAGAAGAGCGGCAATCCCTCCCAGTCTATCCTGTAACCCCTCTGTCTGTCCTGAGAGTCTGAAAACCAGGTATAAAGGTGTTAAGAGAGTCAGTATATTTCCACTGGGTTTAAGTCAGGGCTAGGACCTCATCCATTTAATTTAATATTGACTTCACAATCATCATTACCATCAGCAGAGGAAAATGTTTGAATGTCCTCCTCATTTGTGTCCATTTGTATCCTGCCTTGCACCCCCAGATGTCTCCTATTTGACTTATCTGGCTTCGGAATCTTATTTCAGGCATTACTTTGGCTTTTAGAAGCTCAAATGGCTAAATTTGCTGGATCGCAAACAACTTTCCTACCGGCATAGTCGAGCATCTTAACATTTCTTCACAGCAACACATCATCCAAACCCAACTGTAAAACTGCAAATGCAAGACTCGTATTCTCACAAAATATTGATATAAGACACAAAGACAGATATATGTCAAGATGTGCAGAAGTCTCTTTTAGGAAGGGTTTATTCGGTCTGTTATAAAGAGAGACATGCAGAGACAGGGTTCTCCCACCTGGAATGGATTAAAGGAATCCCTGAGTAATGGACCCCTACTGTGAATCTGTGAATCCACTGGCTCTTTCGTGCCATGATAGTTATCTTTTTTTGGGTCTGATTTTATTTTAGTACCCTAAAAAAACTACTGTATCATAACAGCATGCACTGACAAATGGGAACTTTCGTGTAACGCTCGTGCCAAAAACGTTCCTCACGTCTTAATTTATCAATCCAAAGTTTCTGTCTGAAGTCCAGAAGGTGGTAAGAAGATGCCAATGAGATTTAAACGGCAACTTCAATCACAAGAGACAGGGCAGGTGGGTAAGCATTTCTAGCCAGGAGTCTAACCCCCTCTGTGTTTCCATCCACAATTATGTCACACAGGCCTTTTACACAAGCATAAATTGGCTTTAAGATAAAAAGGTCACTTTCCTTTGAAGGGATGGAACTTTTTTTCTCTTTAACGCTGATTGGGGTTGGTCTGATAACTTCATTATGATCACGATGTCATTCACATGCCAAGATCTTAACACTCAGCAGTTCTCAGATCAGTTTAACACCCGAGGGTGGCATCAACCTGACATGACTTCAGCGCGATCGTCACCTCGAACGAAGCGAGCAGTCTTAGGAGGAATTTATCCCCCTTTCAGAAACTTTTACAGTAAAAAGCTGTTAATCACCTTTTATATTTCCCTTGTTTGGATGTTATCATCTGTATTCTAAAGAGCAGATACTAAACAAGTCAAGACGCAATACAATTCTGGTCACTGTAACAAATGCATTAAAGATAATACCCACGTTTGATTAATCTGTTTACAAATTCAGCTCAAGTGAACCTAATCGACCGGCTGGAGATGATGAGGAGATTTATATTTTTAGAGGTGTCATGGCTTTTAAACTGTTAAGCTTTTAATTGAATTGAAGCCAGCTTTTGTACCACATAACTTGATGAATCTCAAAAGTTTTACACGCTGATTTGTCATCTTTATAACAACCAGCACAAAGTTTGTAACTATTTTGTCATTTTGCTGTCTGTGGAACTTATGATCACTGATTTTGTTCGTAAAATACGCAGAAAAAGTGTCTGGGATCAAAGTGTCAGAGCACTCGCATGGATAGGACGTTACTTCAGAAATGTACAAGCACGTCTACAATGTTTCACACAATGTTTCACACTGTGCGCCACCACTGGCGTTTTCCCTCCCGCATTTCCTGCCAGACGAGCAAAAAAGGTCAAGCCTCCCAGATTTACCGTCACTTGGTAGAGACGGAGAGTGTCCAGTGCGAAAAGGAACTGAGTAAAGCTCCTTAAAAGAACAACGTTACATTAAAGGATGGCCACGTGCCGTCTTTGCTTCTTCGGCTATGCAGCCGCCGCAGCAAAACACTACTTGGAATCCGTTTAATTATGTGATCCTGGCAGTTTGACAGCCTGCCAAGTAACCCAAGCTCTGTTAATCAGGTTAGGGGCACTTTAAATTAAACTAGATAACCCGGGGTGTGGGACCGAGATGGTATCAGGATGTTTAGCCTACTGGTGGTGGGAAAGTTCTGGACAAACCTTTTTACATTAAAGCAGCAGGTTTGTGGCTGTGTCGGAAATAAAAATCCATCCCAACCTTTCTGTATATTCTGATTAAAGTTATCTGAGACCCAGGTAAAGAATAGCACATTATCTTGAGTGCATTTCCGGGATAAATGAAAATGTGTTCAATCACACATCAGTTCAGAGCTGAAAGAGGGAACGCAAACGGCTATCCGACAGAATGTGGGATATTTTGGAGGTTTAAGTTAAGCAGAAAGAGTTGAGTTCAAGGCCGCTGTGTGACACTTAAATGCTCGCAAATGCTGTGGTTGTCTGGTGGGAGGAGCTTAGGCTGAAAAGGAAGAGCAAGATGGCTTCATTTTCTTCTTTCTCGTTCTTTTTCTTTCGTGATTTTTTTTAAGCATCAGGGAGCTTAAAGGTCAAATACCTTGTATATATAACATGAGAAGCACTTAATATTTCCCAATCTATTTTTATGACATCTGACCAAATGAGTCCAAACTATGATGCTTAAAAAAAAACAACACCAAACGTTACTGGGCATTATCTAAGCGGAGGATAAAGTGGTCTGGCAGTTTTGGCCTCACTGCCTCCCTTTTCTTTTCTATTCTCACACCGATGTTCAGTGGACAATTAGCTGCCTTGCCCAGTGGTATACTGTCCTGCAAACTCTCCTCTGCACTGAAAATCAGCCGCCAAGCCACCAGCCACAAAGGTAAAGTCCAAAAACCAGGCTGACCATCCTTAACTGGATGGACTGTACCGGCCACAGTCTGAAGCATCACCCCAGCCATCGACGTGTGTGTATACACACATCTTGACACTTATAGGCAGCCTAATGCATGTTTTTTCAGACTAGAACCTACATAACGAGGTTTCTACACTTTATGCAGCCTACCTTGTTTCATCCGGTACCTGAGTAGATTCTCCTTAAGTTCCTTCAAACATCCGCCACTCTGAACTCTAATCCTTCCTCCTGTTATGCGTCCCCTGCTGCCTTTCCACCCACCTCTCCCTCGGCACAGCGCTCCAGTCTGTCATGGCAGCTCATCAGACACTGTCACCTCCGCATGATGATGATGATGAGTTAACGTCCCTATCCAGAGAAAACAGTGAGCTCCATAACAGAACTTCCTCCGCGCTTGCATCTAATGACGTCTTGTGTCGCGGTTTCTGGCAATTTCAACTATTTTTAGCCGGGGGGGAACTTATTCTAAGAAGATAATTGGATTTGCAGAGCAGGCTGAAGGCAGATGGGGCAGCAAAGGGCCAATCCATTGTTGGCAGGACTGTGTTAATCTGATGTTTCAACTACCAGTGACACATTAACTGCCCTGCTTTTTTGGTTTCAGGACCACACATCGTTGGACACAAAGAGGAATATACATGCCATATGTTGCTTTCTATAGAAAATTAGGGGGCATTTTAAATTAATCTGCCACTATGTTTGAAAACACTGTAAAACTTAACTTAATAAAAAGGTGGAGGAATCATGGAGTATGTCTTGTGTGAAAAAACATATATAAAATGAAAATCACTATATCAGTTATGTTCGCCTGGAAATTACATTAAAATTTGTTTGTCTTTTCATTTCCAGTATCTGCCTCTCAGGGCTGTGACCTTAACCCTGACCCTAAATTCACCTGCAAGCCAGCTTCCATTATGGTAATCTAAATCATTCAAAGCCTGCTTTTACTTTTTTTTTACATACACCCCAATGCTCTTCTTAAAATACTATTATACTATTAAAGAATTTATAGAAAGAAACAGAGGGCCTGGACCCGAGCAAAATTGATTGGTTGTCCACAGTTTAATAGAATTTCCCACCTTTATTTTAAGGTTTTATAAATTATTTATTACATACTTTATTCTAAGGCAATTGATGTTGGTAGCCTGAAGGCCACATTAGCAAACTGAATCAACCTATTCAAGTGGTTGCAGATAACATTTGAGTTTTCATTTTACCTCATGTGTCATTGAAAAATAAATGATATAACATATTATATTTATAATCGGCAATGAAAATATGTACAGTCAATATGCGTTTTTTTTTAACATAATTTGAAGAATATGTTTTAATATATGACTTGCTTAAACGTAAAAATCAGCACGTTCCTGTTCTGCTCTACGTCATCTCAAAACGTTGCGAAATCACGTCTTCCGCCTGCTTCCGGGAACGAGCAGGCGCTCTTGAACGTCCCCCAGCTCCTCATTGTGCAGCCGAGGAAACGTCGGAAGCTTTCGACGACGTCGGTATGAAATGGCAGAAACTGCCTGTGTCGCGGAAGCACGGAGATTAGGTTACGTAGAAGCTACACATGCTTTTGGCCGTGATCCTAACTTATTAAATTAAAGGATAGGGGGAGTGCGTCCGGAAGGAAATAAGAAGGATTTAAAAACCATTTTTCCCTCCCCCCTCCCCCCCCCAAAAAAAAAAAAAAAAATCCCGTCCAGGCAGCGAGCGGCGACCGCGGGTCGACACTGTTGGAATTAACCGGAGAGGGGTGAGCTCTGCATTTAGATTTGTCTCCCTTCCGAGACGTGTTTGCCGTGTTATTGTCAACTGTGCAGGCGGGGGATGGGTGGCGGACGGCCGAATGTGGGTCACACGCGCAGTTTTTTCCCCAGCTCGGTTACAACAACATTTAGGGTGACCACCACCACCACGACAGGCGGTACGGGTTCGGCCTAAAAAGGGTACGAGGCAACCAGCGCGAGCGGTTCCACTGGCGGGGCGAGCCACGGTAACCTATCCGTGTCGGTGCTACACACACACACACGCAGAAACACTTTGGCACAGCTGAACGGCTACTATTGGGTGTAATATAACTTGTCGAAAAGCTTGGACTCGGAACGGTGTGACCTCCGTTCCGTGCCCACCACAATAAACAGCCTTCGGTGTCGTCCGAAAACGCTGCTAACGCCTTTTGAATACACCCTGTTTTTTTTTTAGCTAGCAGCAACTTTGCTGCTTTCAGGGACCGAAACTCAGTCGTTGCGTTTGGTTGCTTTCCACAGAATGGAGGGAATGTCATTATATAGCTTATTTAAAATTGTGTATATCTTCTCCCTAAACGTGTATTTGTGTGTGTGCTGGTATTACTGACCCCGGGGTCAGAGACGTAAACGTAAACGTGAGCACCTTGTGTTGGGCAGTTGCATAATGCTGGGTTTAAACGGTGAGCTCATCCATCAGGTCAGAAGAGCGTGAAGTGGTCATATACATATTTTTTTATTTGACAACAGAGGGGGTTGTTCCAGATCTGTGCAGCTTCCTGTAAAACGCATCTTTGCTTGCACCATCGATCCTCCAGTGCTCCTTGGGAGTCGTGTTTTGGGGAGCCGGAGCTCCAGTGCTGCACTGCTCAGAGCTGCTGAGGTGTTGGGAGAACTCCTGCCAAGAAGCTGGAGGTGATCAATCCAGTGCGCCAAGAAATCTGACCCCTGCACCAAAAAGGAGAGAGATGGGGACTGGGACTTCTGGCCGACATGCGCAATGTCTGAGCGAACCCTTTTTCCATAATCATGGATTTTGCTCACTTTTAAACTTATCTTTGTGCGTTGGGATCTCTCTGTTCATCTCAGAGATCCCTTACGTCGACGTTAAAGGTGTTCTCCCACCCTTTCGTCTCCATCCTGTCCTCCCTGACTCCTGGACAGGATTAGTTGAGGTGGAGAATACTCAGATGGGGTGGCCCCCGGCCACCAGGACGCTCTGACCTGCAACAAACGAAAACAAAGGCTTTCACACCTCCAGCAGTCGCACCTCTGCGAGGTGCCATGCTCCTGCAAATAGGTTTCGGGCACGAAAGGAAACTGAACGCCATGTTCAAAGGCCGTAACTAAGCTGAAGTGTTTTTAAAACAACATCCCAGTTTAAAAGGATGGAATCCTTCCTAGTTGTGAGTAAACGGCTTTAGCATGCGTGCACACGACTTTGATACAGATAGAAAAGTTCCTGCCAGTGAAGAAGCCTCAATGAAATCTGTTAGATTGGACGCTGTCCAATGTAGCTGTCGTATACGCAGTCGATGGAGGAAAAACAGAAACTAGATATAATGTCTGAAGTTGATTCAAGTCAATTGACACGATGTGGGTTTATGGCCTAGCTCTAAACGGAACCTCAGGTGTATGAAATCACATTTCAGGTGGCGTCTTGACTTGTTTTTCAGAGATTTGTCTGAAAAAGTAAGCAAACGTCTTGTTTCTGTAGCAATTCTAGCAGCGTGTGTCCAAACCAGATGGAAGAAAAAACGAAAATGTATAAAATGGGATTCCATTTGTGTTTATATTAAGAGCTTTTTTCAAATGCATGCAAGAAAACAGGTGGCACGTGTAGTTAAACAGCTTGATTTGACTTAAAGATGATGTTAAAATGCTAACGTGCACGTGCAGATTAGTGTGACTGGACATCAGCTTGCAATGGTCAGCTGGATGGATGGTCTGGTTATCGTCTCTGAAAGCGCCACCTTTCCAAAAACTGCAGGTTGGAACAGGAAAGCAACCCACGCTTAGCTTAGTAGTCGTACTTTCATGGCATATTAGCATTTGTCGGGCGCTGTTGGGAAGAAACTCGGCTCACTCTGCAGCTGACATGTAACATGCCGAGGCCGTATTTTTTTTCTTTTTCAGTTTCTGTGAGCATTGCACAATTTAACCTTGGGGCGAACTTGTTGGGACATCCGTCGCTTGTCTTTCATTATCTCCTGACAAAGCTTTCTGTAGACCTACTCGCCCATTCCAGGCTGATGGGCAGAGCTGTCTGACGAGAATAAATTACGAGAATAACGTTGTAAATATCCTACGTTGTTTAGAGGAGGAGAATTGATAAAATGAAGGCCGTGGAGCGTTTCGTGGCGATGTACTTTATAATAGGCTTCACAAACAAGGAGATACTTCATCTTTTGCCACAACAGAATAAGATTGTCATAAGTATCAGGACGCTAAAAAGAATGTTCAAGAAAAACTACTTTAATCTTGTAATTAATTCCTTTTTTTATGTGCTCGTAATACTCCGTCATAGCGCCACAGATTGATGTATTTTTTTTTTTAATAATCCTATTGAACAAATTTGGTCACTCTTTGATTAATTTTTTTTTTTTAAATTTTTCCGGAGTGTTGTTTCATAGTTTTCACACTGATCAGTGGAAACTAGGTCTGGTCTGACCCAGGCTGGGGATTATTATATTTGTAGAGAAGCCCCTGATCAGTCGTCTCCCCCCCCTAAAGGTGAGCGCTTTGCAGAAAAAGAAAGAAAAAAAATCCAGAGCCGCTGGTGGACTCCATCACAGCTGCCCTGATAACTCTGAGCCGTTTGATGTTTCGCAAAAAAATCTCGCTGCATGCTGAGTGAGACGGCCAGTCGGAGACGGATCGTCTCCCGGGAGGGACGCTGACGGACAGCTTTGGGGCCCGGGGATCGGAAAAGGGCTGCCAGTTCAAAAGCCAGATCTGGCTGCCTTTTTTTTTTACCCGGTTATCTGTTCGTCCTCATGCGGCTTGTTAGAGGAACGGCTCGTTTCTCAGACGGCTTCCTCTTCTGCCCGTGACTGATGGGATACCTGGGGTTCTCTTCCAACTTTCATGTGCGATCAGAAAGATAATTCTGTGTTCGTAAGCGTGGCGAAATGAGGCCGCTGCTGGTTGATTGGGGCCAAACATTACCCGGAAAGGCTCATCGCTGCTCGGTCGCTTATGTAAACAAACTCGGGTGACCAACGACCAGTTGCCGGACACCCAGTTTTGAGTTGGTTCTGTGTGGCCAGGGGGGACAGATTTGCTTCTGACCCTTTCTAGTAGTTTTGTGAGCTCAATTGTGGCTTTTTTTATTCTATTTTTTTATTTTTTATTTGCCTCTGGCAGGTATCAAGATGTCGTCCAGTCCAGTGTGCCTCTGATAATGATGGAGGACTCTCCCTACAGCTATTATTATTTGCTATAAATGAGTATCTTTATGCTCACATCCAACATTATGCTTTTTCCCCCCACTCTTTAGGATAAAGTAAGTGCGGTGGGATGTTTTATAGTCTGTATCCATCCCCGTGCTTCAGCGGCAGGCTGCTTACAAGTTGCTCTTACCGGAGTCAAAGTGAGTAAGACAGAGGAGAAAGAAGAGAGAGAAAAAGGGAGAAAAAACAAAGATGTTGAGGAGCCGGAGGGATAAATCGAGAGCAAAAGAGGAAGAGCAGGCCCAGGGGGGGAGCTCTGCTTAGAGGAGACAGGCAGGGAGGAGTGGTCATCATGCCCGGATGTAAACATCAGAGATAATTTGACACTGGGAGATGAGAGGATCTCCTACTGATAGTGAGGTGATAGAAAAAAGGGCTACGGCTTTAAGGCTAACCGATGCTGAAGGGCGGAATGGGTCGTTGAGAGGAGTCCCGCAGTGGCGTGCGGAGCGCACGGCGCCTCAGCGCGATGCTCCAGATCTCGCTAATGGTTCGTCAACCCCCGGCCCGGCGTGAGATCCGGCCTCCTGCCTCCTCATCCGTGCCCGGGTCGCCGCTCGCCCGGGGGCGCTCAGTTGGATTTCACCGGATCACAGCGATCACCAGAAATCGATAACCCTCCTTTTACTAGCCCTGACAATTCCATCCAACAATTCGATGACTCATTAAATCAGCCTCTAGCTCAAATTCAAATGGAGTCATTAAAACTAGTAGAAGAAGAGTTCCCAGGCTCTTTCTTCGGTCACGTATAGTAGTTAAATTAGTTTCTTTCTCTTGTAGTTGAAGCACACTCAATGATGGCGAGCTTCAGGCAGGTTTCGGAAACTCGAAAAAGCCAGGCCGCTCTCTCAAACGGAGCCTCTCCCTCTTTGTCCCGCAGGTTTCCAGAGGCGACCCACCCCTTGGATGCTCGGCCCCAGCGAGCGCTCGTCCACGGCGTCACCATGAACCGCAACAAGCGTGAGAAGGAGTACTACAGCATAGACGTGGGGGACTCCACCTTCACCGTTTTGAAGCGCTACCAGAACCTCAGGCCCATCGGATCCGGAGCACAGGGAATAGTCTGGTAAGGACCCGCCGGCCGGTCTGGAGCGGAGCGGCGGGAAAAGGGCAGAATCGGTCCGGAGACGCCAACAACTGCCGCCAGTTCCGTTGTTAGGGTTATTATGAAGCCTGTGGCTGTGGAAATGCAGAAATACGGTGTAGTGCTGAGCCTGTACCGGTGGAAATGCACCGTACCGGTCATTAAGCGGCGATTTCCACGCCGTTTTAAGCCCTAAACCTGGATTTGTACTTTCCTCTGTGAGGAGGATATCTAGAAACGAAAGATAGCTGATAGCTGTCCCCTCACACGCAACAAAAAAACCTTAGAAACCCGTTTTCCTCGAAGAAAAAGAAATGAAAAAGGACTAACTTTCACTTCCCCCTTTTGCTTCTTCGCCCCAGTTCTGCCTACGACCACAACCTGGAGAGAAACGTCGCCATCAAGAAGCTGAGCCGGCCCTTCCAGAACCAGACCCACGCCAAACGGGCCTACAGAGAGCTGGTGCTCATGAAATGCGTCAACCACAAGAATGTGAGAATGTGTTCACCTCGTTTGCCCCTTTTATTCTGCGCGTTTTGTTCCCCGGTTCGTTGAATCAAACCTCCTCTATAACTTAACCTTTTTGTCGTGGCAGATCATCGGCCTACTAAATGTATTCACACCACAGAAGACACTGGAGGAGTTCCAAGATGTGTGAGTATTGCAGAGCTCCAATAACAGCGACCATAGCAATGATTATGGGGATCATCGTATTTTTGGCTAAAATTATCATTTTTAATTGAATCTTTTCTTCAAGTTTGGTATCTCAAAAATTCAGTCAGCCAATTTTCTCGCTGAAATGCACCATGGTGATGCAATCAAAAGTTTTAGGTGTTGTTTTAGTAGCTTGGCAGCAACATCTCAGTGCTTACGCATTATCTCATTAGCATTAGTTAGTTAGCACTTAAACTTCTAATTTAAACATTTAAACACTTCTGATTGATGTCATGGGTCCAGAATGGAGTCGCCGCCTAAAGCTGACATCCTCAAAAGGCCAGGTTGAAGTCGACCTTAGAGCCAGATATGCCGTTGTCCTGATGGTGCCTCATTCAACAAAATACTTCTTAACTCTGAGCTTATTAAAGAGCAAAGAGCCTGGTGAATACAACCGGAACGGGGAGAGGCTGATGCTGTTAACCTGTCGGGGTTTTGCTGGCATCGTGCTCAACACCAGCTTATTTATTTAGTTGTTTATTTATTCATTCTTAGTTGGACGGATCGCCATTCGAGCCGGTCTGTTCAGTCGTGCTCTGTCGTGGTTGCGCACCCCAAGTGAAACTTTTAAAACGAGTAGCGTCGGGGTATTTTTAGCTAGGTCTGTTCTGTATTTCGAAGTTGACAAGATGTCCGTGTAAGTGGAAACATAGATATGTGGGGGAAGTGACGGTTTTGTGGCGTATGATGTGTGTGTGTGTATGTATGTGTGTGCGTGTCTTAGAGATGATTGCGTTTGTGTGTTGCTACTCTGCTCTGTCTGCCGATTGGAGCTAAAAAGGAAACCGGACAAATGGTTGCCAGAGGGCTGAGGGGGCTGAGTCGGCGGACGTGCGCTCCGTTTGCCCGCGTGTTTGTGTGCTCGAATGCGTCCTGGCGATCGGGATACGTCAGGGGTAGACTGTTCAGATTCATTAAAGTACGGATTAAAGCTGACACATACGGGCACATGCACCAAATTGCGGCATGAAAAAAAAGACGATTTGTTTACCCATTGTGAGTGTTCTGCACAGTTACTCCAACTCTGACTCCAGCAGATGTTGCTGCATTAAAAAGGGAAAGGAGGCCTTAAAAAAGGTTCACCGCCAGATGTTGCAAAACCTTTTTTTTTGGTATGGGGAACTTTAACCTCCGCCATCCCCCCCGCAGTTATCTGGTGATGGAGCTGATGGACGCCAACCTCTGCCAGGTGATCCAGATGGAGCTGGACCACGAGCGGCTGTCCTACCTGCTCTACCAGATGCTGTGTGGAATCAAACACCTGCACGCTGCAGGCATCATACACAGGGTAAGCTGCTCCCGTACCGAAACGAACGGGAGGTCAAGATGAGCAAGAGCTGGCTCATACATACACAATTTTGATGAACGCGCGAACAACCCTGACGATTGGAAATGCAGGATAAGCCAACTCGGCACCGAAAAACCAAGCTCGTATTATCCTTAAGACACACGTGTGATTGGATTTATGAGGCCTTTGAAAGTTTTGTGGAAGAGACAAAGGCTCCAAAGAGCTCAACTTTGGCCATTAGAAAGTTGTCGGCTTTCTCAGTCAGCTAAACAGATAATTTCCAACCTTTTATTAAAGAGGTGAACTCTAAATAAGAAATCGCAAACAGTTACAAGTCAATTTTAATTCATTGCAAAGCAAATCTTTGTCCACTTTCTTGGCCCTTTTTGGACAGTACAGCAAAGCTAAGGCACAGTTTCTGCCGGCAAAGCGCCGTAACATTTAGACATCCATTCGGGGAGGGTCAGGGTCAGCCTGTACGCTTAGACGATTTGGTTTTGGAGCATAAAGTCCTGCGTTTGCATTCTGGAAATGTTTTTGGTAGGACCAAAGCGTTGGCAGGGAGGGTAGGCTAAGCCACACAGAACGTGTGAGTGTTCGTGTGTTTGTGGGCGCTTTTGGATGGCTAGATAGTCACTACTCCTTGTTTTGAAAAGAACAGCCTCACTCGGGCTGAAAATAAAAGGTAAGGGCAAAGGGGTGGAGAAAAGGAAGGAGAATATTCAGAAAAAATAGATTTATTTAAAAAATTTTAATGGCTCTGGAGGTTTGGGGTCGTGTTAATGCCAGTGGAAAAAGGTTCCCATCCCCGTTGCATTAAACAACAAAGGAGTTCATCATACAGCTCTTGACTCTGCACTTTTTCCTTCTGCAGCTCAAACAGTGATAAGCTGAGGGGTGAATTTAGTCAGACGGGCATTTTTTTTTTTTTGCCTACTTCCACTTTTTGGATTCATTCATGTGCCAAGCTAAGCTCTGCGGCTGCTGCTGGTGATAGCAGCCTGAAACGGAACCAAAATCTTCAGCTAAAACCCGCCTGCTGGCAATACGAAGATCGATCCAGCAGGGGAACATTAGAAGAACGACTGCGACGCGTCCGAGCATCTCTGTGGGCTGTTTTTTATTATTTTTTTTTCTGATTACACCCAGGCTGAAGAAGCCCCTGATTTGACGGAATCCCTTTAACGCACGAGACCGGAGAAAAAGCAGCGACACATTTCCCACAAACACGCCCTCACAGCCCCGTCGGATTAACTTTGGGGACCGAACGACGGCACGGCGTCAATCACCCCGAGCGAGATATTTAGCAGTAGATTAGGAGAGCTCCTCTCGCCGCGTCGGCCAGAACTAATTGACCTGCTGGCAGAACTTGCCAGCCTCATTTGCTCCGGCACGACTCGACACACAAAGCTCTCGTAAGGAGAACGGGTCCATCTCGCCTCCTCTCGTTTTTTAAAATGACATTTTTTTCCTCTTTCAACGTGTGGGTAATTTCTCGTCACTCGTCTATCAGGGCAGCGGGGTGTAACGGAGCGTGGCCATTTGCAGATTAAAGCCCCAGGCGGCGTGGTTTTGTAGCAGGATTGCCTTACGGGTTGGAAGTCCATAAGAGCTCCACCGATAATGTCATTGTAGCTCATCAGGATCATCCACACAGGAGGGCGGGGAAAAAAAAAAACTGCATGAAGTCCTATATTTTGTGCATCAGGGCCCGACATTTGTCCACTTTTTTTTGCTGTAAAATGCTCGTTTCCCCTCCATCCCGTCCCCTGGCCTCATCCTCCCCCCGCCGTGCGCTCTGTGCAGGACCTGAAGCCCAGCAACATCGTGGTGAAGTCGGACTGCACGCTGAAGATCCTGGACTTCGGGCTGGCCCGGACCGCCGCCACGGGCCTCCTCATGACGCCGTACGTGGTCACCCGCTACTACCGCGCCCCCGAGGTCATCCTGGGCATGGGCTACCAGGCCAACGGTGAGTGGACCGGAGCGCCCCCGGCCTCACACCGCCCGCCCCCCGCGCCGCGCCGGACTGCCCCCCCCCCCCACCCCCCCCCCTGCTGCATGGCCCTCACCCCCTTCCTCCCCCTGAGCTGTTCTAAGACCCACTTCCCAAACACACACACACGCGCACACACTCCACGTTTCTCCAAAGGTTACGCTCAGGGGGGAAGTCGGCATGCGGGGTAGGGTTGCTTTGCGGGGAACTTCCTGTCTGAAGACTGCGGTGGCCAGCAGAGCTTTAGCATGCGTTTGATGTTTTATTAAGAGACGGCTGAGCCCCAACGCAGCCTGGCTAGAAATCGCCTTTATCAATCCGCCCGCGCATGCTTCGCGGCCCTGCTTCAGACTTATCGCAGTTAGTAGAAGCTCGACGAGCGAAATCATTAAGCACATTAAGGCCAGTTGTAGCGGGGACGCTTCCAGCTAGTCTCCTCTGGGTTTTTTAAACAGCGTCAGGTCAGCTGATCCTTTTCTTAATACCACTTACCCAGCTCCAGGCTGTGGTTTATACTTAGAAGTATGAATCTTACTTTCTTAATCTTAATAAAAAGAGACAAATCACTCCTAATGTTTAACTCGATACAAATCTAATAATTAGACTGTCAGATATAAAAAGATGATAACCAATAACCATACTACAAATTGTATCGGAAGACAACCTGTGAATTCGAGCAAAGGTTAAGAACCAAATCAAAGGCTTTCCAAACTCCTCCTGCTTACTTGTTGCATTTCTTGCTGATTCTCTTTTCCCTCCTTTTATGCTGCACACATTTAGTGGATATTTGGGCTGTGGGCTGCATTATGGCAGAAATGGTTCGCCACAAAATCCTTTTTCCAGGAAGGGATTGTATCCTTGAGCTGCTTGCAGCAGTGTCTGGCTTTTCTTTTTTTTCCTCTCCACAAAAAAAAAAAACGAAAAAAAACTTTATTTTTTAGTCTTCCTCATTACACGCAACTATTGAAATTCTACTTCTCACATCTTCCTGACACCTCGACTCACGGCCACCCACCTGCTCTTTGAACCGACAGACGAGAGTCTACAGGCGCCTGAAATAGAAATTTAATAGTTTGACTTTTTCATAGAGGAGAAACGCCCTCTTCTATCCTCCAAACTGCTCTCTACACACCTTTTGTTGATGCAGCCGTCACGGCAAAAAAAGTGTAATATGTCATTTTTGTTCTCGGCTCACTGAGAAAACAGCCTCTTAATCTGCAGTGCCACACACTTAGAAGGGAAAGGGAAGACGAAACGTCAGCCAGACGCCCGAGGACGTCTCGGCTTTAAATACCCGTGGTGGATTGCAGGGAGGATACACAGGGTGCTAAAATTCATAACATAGAAAAAAAAAAACCCCTGAGAGTCGACGTCTCACCTTTCAAAATCACTTCATGATGGAAATGCACCGTGCCGCATGCTGTAATTTATTTATTTTTTGGTCATGTTTCACACGTCACCTTGCTCATATCATGATTTTTTTACATTTTCAAGTCATCATTTTTCCCTTTTGTCTGAAAATTATTTGGCTTTGTTTGTTTTTGTTGTGTTTGTTTTGGGTTTTTTTTTAGTCCTGCATGCTAATTAGGTGGTTGTCAATTCGTTTTTCAGTTGATGTCTGGTCTGTTGGCTGCATCATGGCTGAAATGGTCCGGGGTAGTGTGTTGTTTCCAGGCACTGATCGTATCCTTGAGTTGAACCCCCCCCCTCTTCCTCCCAACCCCCCATCTTCCCAAAAAAAAAGACCTTCCCGTCTCATCATTTTTGTCTGACGTCTTGTTCATGTCTTTGCACACAAGGGGGAAATAGTTACTGCGTCTCTTTGAAAAAGCTGGGGTGCTGCGTTTTCTAGAGGTCTTTCTTTCATACCATTTGACAAAGAAGAAACGACACAAAACCACCACGCTGGACAAATGATAGCATGTGAGCGTCACAACACGCAGAACCCAGCAGCCACCGACCAAAACGGACTACTCCACTATAAATTTAGTTCAGTCTCAAGTTGTTCTTGATGTTTTAAGTTCCATTTTTCTTTTGACTTCTGCCAAAAAGATGACATGTATTTTGTTAATTTAAAACCGAGCCACATCTCGAGCGTAGCTTACATCCAAAAGGTCGCTGGTTCGAATCCCCGCCCCAGCGTACAATGTCTTTGGACAGGACATGTAACCCCGCCTGCCTGATGTGTCCTTTTGGGTCCTTTTTAGTTGCAGAATGATGCCTTGGCACCAAATGTGACTGATTAAATTGTAGGGCATCTGTAAAGGTGTTTTATAAGGCTGATTTTGAGTTACTATCCTGTCAAATATATCAGAAAAAACTGTTTTTCCACTACTCACGATTAAAATATTAGTTTTTTTCCAGATTGAAAGATTGATTGAAATGAATTTGAATACTAATTTCGAAGTATGTTTGAAAGCAGATACTCTAGTAGTATTTTAGTAGTGATTTGACAGAGATAGCTGTTTTTGTGGAGGAGTAATTTTCCTGAATCATCACATCTGCAAACTGCAGTCTGTACTGTAGATGCTTCCACTTAGAACTCGTACCAGATGCTAATCCATGAAAAAAACAGTCCAGTCATGCTGACTCAGCCTGAACAGGCGATAGTGGAAAAGGGCCACATGCTACAGTGAATGTCCCGACTACCAATGAGCCGGTTTCCCAGTTTGTGACGGCCATCTTTGTCTCACTTCACACTGCTGCCGGGATCCGACTTTAAAAAAGGGCTTTCCCCTCGTATCAAAAGGCACTAAAAGTGTAGTGATCTGTTCTGCTGCTGTCCTCTGGAGATTAAAGACGCCGTATTGCGTTTCCGAAACCGAACCAACACCAGAAAAAGACTCAAAATGGAAAATTTGGATGAATCGATGAGATAAATTTTAGCAACCAGTCCTCGTTTAACCAATGACAATTGTTCGGTCCTTTTTAATAATTTTTTTTAATGATTCTTATTGTTTTTGGGCCGGTGAAATATGCAGTCGTTTTTTTCTTTTTTTTTTTAAAGAGACGCCGAGCTTTTCCCTCTTGCTTTCTGTTGGAAAGGATGAACAAAGACATCAACAAGTGTTTCTATGTGTGTGACATTCTCTGTATACATTTGTGTGTTTGCTTCTAAGAGCAAATGTGTCGTTGTGGCATCTGGAGCTCTTGAGCCCCCCAGAGCAGATGCCCGAAATGTGTTATTTACCACAGCGTGTTTATCCCTCTTCTCGCCACGGGGGAGTATGTACAGACAAAATTTAGACGTATTTTAATCATCAAAAACCTCCCAATAAGTTTCATTGCAGTCCTGCTCTGCAAAAAAAAAAAGAAAAAGAGACTAAAATACAGACATGTTGGTTTTTCGGCTCGATTCCAAAAGTACTTTTGAAGCATTTCCCAGTCAGATATGACCCCCCCCCCTGTTTGTCCAACCTCTGGCCGCTCCTTTTCTTAACACCTTAACCGCAAGATATCGACCAGTGGAACAAAGTGATCGAGCAGCTGGGGACTCCGTCCCAGGAGTTCCTGATGAAGCTCAACCAGTCGGTGAGGACCTACGTGGAGAACCGGCCGCGCTACGCCGGCTACAGCTTCGAGAAGCTCTTCCCCGACGTCCTGTTCCCCGCCGACTCGGAGCACAACAAGCTGAAAGGTGAGGCGGCATAAGACCTTAAGCTGGAGTTGAATAGGAACTTTCACCCACAGAAAACAGACACGGCATGGTTTACTGTTTCAAAGCGTTCTTGTACCTGAGGATTGATTCGAATCCAAAAGCGGCTCCTCGGCGTTTTCTCGCACACTTTTGACGTTTCAGTGCCGAGCCGCTCGCCGTGGGGAGGAATTTACCCCGAGGGTGCTTTTTCATGTTTAAAAATTACAGACACAAGCTGTGTTTTTTTTGTTGTTTCTGTTTTTTTTTTTAAAGAAAAAGCGGCTTGTCTTTTTTTTCCGTCCGTCAAAATATGTGACAGCACCCGGCTCCATTTTGAGCGTTCAGGTTTAACTGCATCGTCTGCCTCTACTTGTTGCTCCGAAAGCTCAGATGAGTCACGCTGGCAGAGGTTTGCGACCAAAATGAGGGACGGTGAAAGCAGGGTGCATATCTCTGTCTCAGGAGGTAAACAGCCTGAGGAGTTAGTGACTTCAAATAGGATTTGAAAGCAGCGTTTTGACATTAATCATGTGCAAATATGGTCACGGACTACTTCCCCATACTTTCAAAACACGCACTATAACTAGGTTTTTCTTTTTATAGCATATTTAATTAAAGGTACATACACAAGGTTTAAAATACAGGATTTTTCAGTCTGAAATGAAGTTTCAGTTTCAGCCTTTGAAGGCCGAAAGCAGAATATCCATTTGGTTTTTGGCCCCCTTTTTTTGTTGTAATTTCTTTGTAAATTTTCATTTTGCTTCTGAGGTAAAATAACGATGTACTCGGCCATCAGATTATTAGACCGTCACCAAAATTAGTCTATTAACTCTATGGTAGATTAAACTCTAGGTTGTCTCCCAATCTATCCTATGTCATTAAGAGGTTTTACCTTAAAAGGCAAAAAATAAAATCAGTAGTATACGGTCTTCTGTACATGGTTAAGAATCGGCATTGCCTTTTTTCTTTTTTTCCCCCAAAGTTCTGTTGATAGAAGTAGCTGAGGTAGGCAAAGCTTGCCCAGATTGGTCTCCTCCAAATATTTGATGCTTGAATTTACAGGTAAATTCCCCGGTGTGTTTCTAAACCGGCTCCCCAGCGCTGCGTCCTCCTCCGACATCCCGTTCGACCCGGAAGGGGCAGACTCTCCCAGCAGGAACTTGACCTTTCATTTGTGTGTGTCTCTGTCTTTATCAGCGAGCCAAGCCAGAGACCTACTATCCAAGATGCTGGTCATAGACGCCTCAAAGCGCATCTCAGTGGACGAGGCCCTCCAGCACCCCTACATAAACGTGTGGTACGACCCGACCGAAGTGGAAGCAGTAAGTACTCGGTCGGCACGTGCTCGCGCTGCTAATGTCTGAAAACGTCTTGGAAATTTAGGAATCGGTGTGTGCTGGGAACCGTTTTGACTCTCCTTGGGAAGCAAGTCGAATTGATTTTTGCCCACAATCAGGCGGATCTGCAAATGGAGCAAACCGCTTACTGCCTTTGTTACCCGTTTTGAGACATGAAAAGATTCCTCAGCGCTCACAGATCAGCCTTGACAAGAGATTTGTATTCAGATTATGGTGCTGACACCTCACTAATGGATCAAATCCCGGCCTGAGCGTGGGTCTCTGACGCCTTTCAGGGTGTTCCTTCCACCTAATTTTTGTAAAAGAAAAAGTATAAAAATCAGTATAAATTCAGTACTTTGTAATGTTTCATTTGGTCATCCAAAGAAAATAACGACAAAAGAAAAACTCTTTTTACTCCAGTTTTCCTGTTGTAGATTTCCACTGCAGTTTTCTTTTTTTTTGTCCTCCTGGAGCTTGTGTTTCCACTCAGGGCATGTACTTATTCGTACTAGTTTCAAAGCGGTCGGCTGAAAACTGTGCTCACATTGGCCACAGCGAGATGCACCTCCTTGTGGAATATTGTTGGAGCCATACTTGGCGTCTTTGTTCTAGCCCAACATCATTTACCTGTAAAGTAATGTACGTGTTGAAAATGGCTGCTCTCATAAAAGCAAACGTGCACCTTTCTGTCTTCTCAAAGCCACCGCCTGCGATAACAGACAAGCAACTGGATGAGAGGGAGCACACAGTGGAGGAGTGGAAAGGTAGGACAGGCCCTCTCTTTTCTCCTGTTGTCCAAAGGACTCAGTGGATTGCAGCATTTTGGTTTGGTCGAAGCGAACACGCAGAGATGAAACAAATTGTCAATCTACTTGTCTTTGCTATATTGCTTTTTAAATTAGTTTTTTTCTTTTTTTAAAGTAGCAGTTACTTCACTCTCAAACAGTTGCAGGCACTTGGCCTACACTGCCACCTGCTGACAAGATCATTCCAACAAGCTCAATGCATAGTGACACTTTACCCAAACTAGCTTCCCAACAGGACAGAAAGCAGCCTTTTCTGACTGAGAACTGATCCTCTCGTCAGCCTGTTGTGATCATGGGCAACATATGCTTCCAGTAGCTTTTGCTTGGGGATACCAATTGCCAATTCTGCTCCTTAACCCTTTAAAGCCCGATCCAAGAATAAAACAAAACAGAAAATTACTTTTTTTGGTTTTAAGTCTTTATTTTGCCTTTTAACAAAATATGTACAAAGAAAACACAAAAATACATTTTTAATATTAATAATTTATTACTATGCGATAGGTCAAGATTATTTCTCGTGTAGTCTTCTGCCCCCTGTTATCAGGTGTATCTTATTGTGTACAATACGATTTTTACCATTTAATTATGCAAAAGGTGTCAGATGCAAAACATTTCAGAAACCATATGTATCAAATATTATACATTTGGCATTACAGGGTTAAAAGTCAAATAACTCTTAATGAAAAAACAGCCTGCTACGTCAATCTAACGTTATCTTCTTTTTTTTTCTTTTTCTTTTTTTTTCACATTTGAAATTTTTCAGATCCAGTGTCACTGCGCTATTTGACCAAGACTCTTTTCTTTTTTGGAATGCTTTTTGTTTCAGAATTGATATATAAAGAAGTGCTGGACTGGGAGGAACGGACAAAGAACGGTGTCGTCCGGGGACAGCCTGCCTCCATAGGTTGGTGAAGTTTGTACAAAACTGCCACGTCCACCTACGTTTCGAGGAGGGCAAACTGTCCCACAACGTGTGTGTGTGTGTGTGTGTGTTGGGGTGTTAGCGTCAGATCTCAGTTACTGACCACAGTCCTCCTCCTGCTTCTCATAGCACAGGTGCAGCAGTGAGCAGCGGCCCCGCGCAGCACCACCCCTCTGCGTCCTCCTCCGCCCCCGCCAACGACGCCTCCTCCTCCATGTCCACCGACCAGACCCTGACCGACACTGACCGCAGCCTGGAGACGGCCGGCGCCGCCTCCGTGGCTGCCAGCGCTGCTACGGCCAGCGGCCCCGTGGGCTGCTGCAGATGACTATCGCCTCCACCCCCAGGACCCGGTCCTGGTTCCAGCACCTGGCCCACACCTCCTGGGTAATGCCCCCCCCCCCCCCCCCCCCCGGGCAGGGCCCCCCCCCCGGCTCCTGGTCCCCCCCCGCCCGGTCATATTTGCCTCCTCTTCATGCTCGTCTCCACCCAGGTAGCTGTTTGAGAAACATTTTTTGAAAGGACAGATCTGTTTTGTTTTGTTTTTTTCCTCCTTAGTGACCTCTTTTTTTCTGTTTTTTTGGTTGTAAAATTAGCATTAGTCTTTATTTCTAGCTGTAATTTATCGTATTAGTTCTTAATTTTTCATAAACCTAAGAAGGTAATCGAATTTTTATTTCGCGGCGCCTCGGTTCGTAGCGACCGACGGCGAGAATTTAAAGAGATATCTGTAAATTGTCATGATGTGATCCGTTTTTCTGTTAGAAAGTCGTCTGTTTCACCTGTAAGCTGCGGCTTCCACAACTTGCCATATAAATGTAGACCGAGTTTGTACAGATTTTATGGTAGATGTAGTTTTATCTTCAATTAAAAGTGTGCAGTGAGCCACTGAAACCTAATTGAATTGACGGGGGTATGGTTTTGGAATTTCTCTTCTTTGTTTTTTATCTGACATAATGCGGATATTGTTTTTAGTTCAAGAGATATCCATTTCTTTAACTAAGATCGTTTAGATTTGTCTGTAAAAAAAAAAAAAAAAAGAAGACTTTTTTGAGTCACTACAGCTTCCTACATGGTAAAATGTCACTTTTCTGAAAGCTTTATGATCGCCTGATTCTTTACTTCCTTATCAGTCAGATGTTTCGAAATGCTGAAATTAGACTTTTTTTATGTTTATTTTTTTACCTTCTACCTTTAGGCTGTAGCATGGCACACTTAGGTGCTGCGGGATTCATCCTCAGTGGCGATTTTATGTATTATTTTGTTTTTTGTTTTTTTTCAAAGTGCTTTAAAGTACCTCCTATGTCCAGCAAGTGGGTGCAACGTTATGGACCGTGTTAAGCAGAACGGTTTTTGGTGACTGGTGGTCTTTAGAATGTTTTAAAATGTGCTTAGAGAGGGTTTATTTTGAGATGGAGAGTTGTCGAGCGAGCTCGTCAAGTTTGGTGATTGTGAAAATGAAAATGGAATTTGCTTCAGTCAAGTAGGGAGTATAGATCCTGAGAAAGCATGCGGACGTTTGTCGTATTTGGTGTTCTGGGGGGACTGCAGTTTGGAGCGTTTGGAGCATGAACTTGGTGAATTCGAAAATCGAAACGGGATCTTGCCTGTAATCGGAAATCAAACGGAGGGACGCGGAACACCGAGCATCACCGAACATACCAAACTCGCGGGAAATAAATTATTCTGACCGTATGCAATAATTTCCGAGCGCATTTGATTTTGGTCTTGGCGGGAAAAGTGCCTGTTGTTTGTCGTTCATTCCTTAGTACGTGGAAAGAAAGTGTATTGCTGATGTAATTAGAGGTTTTCTGGCGTCTTGGTAACTTTGTGGTATTTTCCATGTCAAAACGGTAATGTCTGGTGGGGTGGTAGTTCTCACAAATGTATTGTCTATTTTTCTACTTGTTTGGAATTTCTGACACTTCAGCTGGAGGCTGCTGTGTACCGTAAGGGTAAGAAAAACGATGGAGCACGAGGCGGTTACGGTGCGGTTCTGCATGTTCAAGGCATTTTCGGAGGAAAGGGGCAGATTTATCAAGGTTTTTCATCAAAGTAAAAGAAGTCTTTCTTTGCGGTGACAGCAACCAGATTAGAGGTTCTTTAGTTTATTTTTTATTTTAATTTTTTTTACATTTCATCATAATACTTGATATACGTGTCAGTTAAAATAGAGAGCAGCAGATGAACTGCTTCGGGTAAAGTTAACTCTTCGGAAGGCTGATCGAGAGTATAGCGAAAATCTAGAAAACGAAAACATTCTGAGAGAAAAAGCCAAACTACCACAGTGTTTCTTTAATATGTTAACCTTGTGGTACTAAAAAAACAAAACAAACAAGCCTTACATCCATATTATCCACAAACTCCAGCTTTTAGGAAGGCTGCGGCAAAGAATCTGCAAAAAAATTAAAATGCAATCTTCTCCTCTGTAGTTATTGTGTGTTATTGATGAACTGCTAGGATTATCTGTGTTGGAGAGCACTCTGTCGAGAACCACAAAGAGGGAAGGTTGTCTTTAGAGTGTACCGCACACTGTAGCCCACGTTGCTTTTTGTCTGCCAAATATTGTCAAGAGATCTGATCATGTAGTGGCATGTATCTCAGACGTGGCTAAAGTTTCTGAAAGGCACCAGCTATTCATAAAACTGTTACAAAGTGTGCTACCTTAAGTGGATAGTTTAAAAAAAAAAAAAGTTGGGTTGCATCATTAAAGCTTGCTAAATGTATTTGATTTGATGGAAATAGTTTAAAAAAACATGCAAGAATTGGCTATGTGAAAAGACAAAAGATTTGTTCCTTTTATAAATGTGTTTTTTGTTTTAGTTTTAAAGGGATGAATATGTTTGCATAAGAAGAACATATAAAATGTGCAAACATCAGTTTTATTTTTTAAATTATTTAGTCTATTTCATCTTTTTCACTCATGGTACATAACCATTTGGAAATTTAATTGAGTTTACATTTTATAAATTGGCAATGGAAAGTGTAGTTCAGATCATGATATATAGTTTTCAAAGAGCAACGCCATTAATGGTCGATAACACCAAAATTATATAAATATACATATACGAAACGATAAGCTTCCTTAGTTATGTGCACAGATGTGATATGTGATCAACAAAAGGTTATCTAAAAGTTGACTTGAGTGATACTTTATCAATTTTTCAAAGGGAATTTATTCAAAAAGTTTTATGAAATAGAACATTTCTAGAATTGCTTAGCTTGTCAGTTAGCTACGCAATGCTATGTACTTGAGACAATAATGATGCATTAACTTAGTTATCTGCCCAACCATTCATTTTCACTATATTACGAAGAAAATATTAGCTTTGTAAATTCGCTACACACCACTTAATATAACATAACAAGTGTGTTGTGAGATACACAGCTCTCATTTTAACAACCAAATGTTAGCTCGGGCAATTAGTCACTCAACTGGTAAAATGTTAGCTAACATGTTAGCAGCAAAACTGCTAACTGGTAAAGTTCGGTAAACCAATTTCCGGAACATTAATATTATTAATATTGGCTGACAGAGGCTATCTTATCATTTAAATTCTTTTTTTTTTTTCCACCCAGAACAAATGACCCTATATTATACAGTATATATATATTATATGGTCTTGGCTTGTTATACAGTAAGTTTGTTTTGTCAGGACAAAGAACATTTAGCTCTAACATTAGCTAAAGAACAAACACCACTGTTTGAGTTTGATTTATTTATTTATTTGGCAAACTAATGTCAAGTTTTAAGTAATATAGGCAAGGGGTGTAAAATATCTACACTCAAGTTTATCTGGTGCAACCCATTTTCTAGATGATTCTAAATGTCGACTTACTACATAACACCATTGTAACAAACACCTGGTGCCCCTTCCCGCTACAATGTCGAAGAAATGCTTTCAATCAATACTGAACAACAATATTTAGCTAGGGAGCCAAAAATAATGTAGTATGTAATAATGTAGAACTGCAGCAATTAGTATAGTTTCTGGCAGAAAAAAAATAATTCCTATAATAGATGTGTAGATGAGTACGATCTAAGAAATAAGCAGTGTAACATCTGTACAAAAAGCAGAATTAATGGACTGAGAAACAGAAATCAATCAAAAAAATGATTTTTTTTAAGGAAAAGTGCTCTTAATTTTCTTAACCCAACATTGTTCATTTGAGTTTAAACCATTTTTTTTATAGTTTATTTTTCCATCTTAGGTTGTTGTTGCTTTATTAGTATTATTACATATCTCAAAACAATTACTTTTTTTTTATTTTATTTAAGTCAGCTTTGATGAACTACCTCACGCTGAGTTTCTGCCAGTTCGTGCAAATATTTAGTCACCTGCAGAATTAGCTATCGAAGATGTGTGAATAACAGATTCCATTATTTATTTATTTGAAAGTGTACTATTTGTCAGTTTCAGCAGACTTCTAGTTTTGTACATTATGTATACTTCGCCCGGAAGTAAGAGAATTGTTATATAATTTTTTTTTTTTTGTCTTTCTTTTTTAACTAAATGTGCAATACCTTCAGAAAACTGTGCTAGTAATATGTGATGGGCTTAGCCTTAGCTGTCTCCTGAAGGTAAAGAAAATGTTTGGTACCGTCAATCCATGTTTTCCTTTTTTTCCTCTTTTTTTCTCCTTTAATTTTTATTTTCCGTTTTACAAAAAAAGATCAATTGTTATTTCTATGCCGTTTTTTTTTTTTTTCAGTCAAAATGTTACGTAATCGGTCTTTCCCTCCAAAATATCTGTCGGCCATAATTTGATGTCTGAAAGCTCTTTGATTTACACATCGCCGACAGATTTTTGGATTTGGGATATATTAGTATGTTAATAAACACACACACACACACACACACAAAAAAAGCTGAGTAAATACCTACAAGAAATCGTTAAATGTCTGGTGCTGGTTTGTAATGTTTGCTAGTGAATCCAGCCATGCAACTAGTTCTAAGAATTCCTGGATCTGTGCGTCCCAGCTGCAACCAGTGAAGAAGTGCACTACTAGAATACATGCACTGGGATCTGATGATGCACCTCTTGGAAATAGGGGAAGGGGGGGTGATAAAAAAAAACAACATATGTACTGCAAATAAAAGAAATACACTTTGTTTCATGATTGAATGTCTTCTTTTTGTCAAATGTGTGGTTCTGACTCCTGAAACCCTAAACATCTGTGTCACGTATTGGTAAATGAAAGCTATTTTAATGGGTATGATGTATTTTCTCATATTCACCAAAGGGGGACAGGGGGCATTGTCTTTAATTTTCACCTCAAAATTTCACAGCATTATGTAGAAAAGTCAAATTTAGGTCACAAGTGGAAAAGGTGTTGCTTGCATTCTCCAGAAACTCGATTTCCCCACAACAGTCTCGAGTTAGTCACCTTTATTCCCACAGGGCCATTTACTACAACAGTGGAAATCCATAATAAATAAGCACCAATAGCATCAGAAGAGCAAACTGAAACAAAAACATTTAACTGTAACCATGAGACATATTTGAGGTGAAAAGGAAATTTCCGTTGGAATAAACGTACATGCTTTTGGTTTTGACAAGGATACTCTGGTCTGTGTAGGAGAGGAGTCCATAAAGGACAGATACCTTGTAAACCTGCAAAATATAACGTGATTTATTTCTTAAGCAAACAGTCACGCTGTCCAACTAAAAATCACGCATTATAATCATCAGTGGGCCCTTTTTTTTTTAGAGAAACTCGCTTGGAATACCTTAATTGGAAATAAGGTATAATAGGTTAATATAGGTTAATATCCACAAGGAATTCGGAAAAAAATCAAGATATTTTTTTCGATGAAACAAACCTTACGAGTTACAATCATTTTGATTTATGCACCCTAACAACTTTACAACATGACCAGCAGTTTCCTGTGTTTTAACGGATTACTCTGGAGTTACAACTTCATTCAGAAATGTAGGTTGAACGTAGTGAGGCAGTTTTTTTCCCTTTCTTTCTTTCTTTTTTTTTTTTTTACAGGGCTAGTTTAAGATTCAATAGCACATTCACTATGAGGATACATTCTCGATGCAAAACCTCCACTCAGTTCACAATCGACTTTCACAAGAATTGGCACCTTCGAGTGATTTTATCAGCATCATCGGTTATTTCATTGTGTTAAAATAAAACGGAAACAATGCGGCTACTGAGCAGACTCCGGGTAAATATATGCACGTTACATTTGATTTCCTGTTTTTAAAAACACTTCCCTGAAGGCACAACCGGGAAACTCCATTGTTTCTCTGAGGGCAGTGTTCAGCTTCATGTGCCAAAGTCAACATGGCTTCCAGGCAGGCGATTCGGATCTGTTGCGTGCCAACAGCTGAGGTGGTCCAGCTTTGGTATTACTGTGTATTCGAAAGGAGCCACTAGCACCTGTAACGCTTTAAGATGTTTCCGTCATCCTTATTATGTGTACATCAGGAATTGATTTATATCAGCAAGGATCAGAATGATGAGTAAAGAGATAGGCTTTGCCATCAAATGGACTTGGAAACCATGCCCACGGTAACAAAAGAGGCACTGGAAGGGCCTGAGGACAAAGAGTTTGAGGCAGCTATGGCAGGAGTTTCGTCTCGTTGATGCTTCAGATACTACGGAGGAAACGGTTTGGAAAATCCTGATTTCTGAAACCTGTTTCTGCTTTAAAGTGTATAAAATAAACTCTACGTGAAACCACAGAAGCGCTTGAGGCTGAGACAAACAGGAGCTTCTGCTAACGTCGTCACTGTAAAAAAGTAGTAGCCAAATCACAACAGTGGTTACTCACTACTCAAAAACCTAAGTTTGAATATAGACCGAGCATTAATCTTTCTTTTTACCACCGTCCTACTCTGGAGTTTGTGGGCCACACGTCACCAATACATACCACTGATACATTTACATGTTAGCTTCTTTTTTTTCCCGCCAAAAACCACTTCATGTTTTGAAAGCATTGACAAAAAAGACAGACATTTCTTTGTTTCCGATACTTAATGAACTGACTCTGTGGAATGAGAAATTGCGTGAAATTTGGAAAATAAACTGTTTGCAATTTTGTTTAGGTGTGTTAAGAAAACTGAAATATACATTTGCTTAAGACAGCTGGCTTGGATTTGCATAAAGACTAACTTCCTGTTTAAAGAGAGTAAATAAATAAGAGGTGTTGTGGTACTGTCTCGCTATTAAATGTGGCATTTAATATGATAACAGGATGTAGTGATTACTTGCCTTTTTGTGCTGGTGGTCAGCTTAGCCAGATTAGCTCTTATACTCTCTTCTCTAAAGCTAGGCTAACCAACTGCTAGCCATGTCTTTTTCAGGTTTCAGAGTGGTATCATGTAACATAGAACCCTAAATAATGTCACTACTTTAACATAAATACCCAATTAAGACAAATATCAATCAGCTATCTGCATTAACATGAACAGTTCTAATAACTCTACAGTTTAAGCACAAAATGTAGTAATTTAGTCCATGTAAAGTAGTGGTTGAGAAACTCAGTGCTCACAGTACAGAAAATGTCAGGTATGTTACAATATGTTATATCAGTCACAAACAGGTACCTGAAATGTTTAAAACAATGCCTTCATAAAATAAACCCTGGATCATTTGCAAGGAGTGTTGGCTCATCACAGAAGCACCCTTTTAACGATAGATTTCAAGCATGCAAATGTCAAATTTGTTAAGCGGAGTTGATCCTGAAAGGGAGTTCATTTACCGCCTCTGATCATTTTCCTATCATAAATTTCAAGCTTGTAGGGAATGTGCAACAACATGCTTTTCTTTTTCGATCTTTTTTAAGGAACGTTTTGATGCACTGAAGAGGATTCGGCCCCCGATACACTGACAAGCCTCAGACAAAAAAAAGAGTTTTGTTTGTATCAAATGTCACTTGTTCTCGCACCCAGGGCCAGATCCCCCAATGTGGAAAAGAAATCCTCCATCTCTTTCTCCAGAAGTCGGTTGCGATTTTCTGCATCCTCCCGCGCTCGCTCAGAGTTTCGAAGTTTGATCTCCAGCATGCGTTGTTTCTTCTTCTCTTGCTCCATTTCCTGTTCCAGACGCTCCATCTGGGCACATAGAGCGACACTGGACTCTTCCAGTCTGAGAAGATGTAGCACAATACAGGTAAAAGTGATTAACAGTTGTCCTCATTATTTTGGATGAATTATCATAGAATAAGAAATTTGTATTGTTACACATGTATCTTCATTCATTCAGATTCATTCATTGCAAAATCTCCAATGCCCACAATATGTAATCTTCAAAATAAAAAAACTTTGCTAAAAATTACCTCAAATGTTTGGTAAAACTAGAATATTACATCCAATATATCAAGAAGAGCTATATTCAATGCCTAAAATTCAACATGAACAGGATTAAAATGATCCACACAAGACTTACTTCTGAATTCTTGCATCATAGGTGGATTTCTGCTTTGTTAACTCATCCTTTAATCCCTCCACCAGACTGCTCAGAGTCAAGCTAGTCCCATCTCCGTCTTCGGTCATGATTATGGACGGCACCCCAGCCGCCAAGTTCCCGTTCTCGCTGCCGGCCGCACTGCTCGTGCAAAGTTCCATGGCCTCGATACTGTCCTGTTCAGAGCTGGGCTCCGTCACCATCCCCCCGCCCATTTCTGCTTCCGCCTGCCTCTGCATTTCCAGCCACTCCCCCTTTTCGCCACCCTCTACGCCGACTCCGAAGTTCTGGTGTGCCGAGGGGTCCCCGCCAGAGTCGGGCGCCGAGATCTCGCAGGAGGACGTGGACCACGGGGTGCTGGAAACGCTTGGGACGCTCCCCCCGCTAGAGGAGCAGGTGACATTGTCATAGGTGGAAAGTCTCTGGGAAGAGCCGGTGGAGTCGCGATCGCGGGCCGACCGCTCCCCCGACGACGTGCGCCGGTGTCCCCTCAGGGAGGACAGACCATTCATGAGCCAGTTGCCTCCTCCGCCACCACTGGTTGTATCGGCCGCTGAGCCACCGGTGCTGCTCTGCTTGGCTTGAGGCTGGGAACGAGGTGCCGAGGAGCTTTTGAACGAGTATTTCCAGGAAGGCATGGTCTTGGCTTGTTTACTTGGGCTCACCACCGGTTCTCCCTTCCCTCCGGAGGAACCGACTTTTGTCCCGGGGTTGGGGTTTGAGGTCTGCGCGGGAGCGACTGCTGCGCACAGTTTGGCATCCAGTGACGAGGCACTACTGTGAAGTTCTTGGTCGGGGTTGGAGACGGGACAGCTCTGCAGGTCCTCCTCGGAGATCCAGGCTCCTAAGCTGCGGTGTTGGAGCTGATGTCCCTGGAATGGTACCTCCGGTTGAGGTAAACTAGCTCGTTCCTGGTCCCTCCCTGAGTACAATCGGTCGTGTTCCCTAATGAGGACCGTCATAAGATGCTGGACCAGAGACGTCCCTAGACAATGTAGACCACAACCCGTCGGAATATCGTTAAAAGGCACATGAGATCTGAATCTGCTTAAAACTGCAGAGACAATGTGTTTTATGGGGTTTTTAAGCGTGAATACCACAAAGTGTTGTGTTGTTGCATTAAACACAGTCATTAAGTAGTCTATACCTTCCATGATAGTGACTGGATCTTCCATCTTGGGTCGAAGAATATTTGGTCCAAATACTGTGGCTAGGTTCTGTACACTCATCTTGTTCTCATTACAATGGGACTGGACCTCATCCAGAAACCTACAGAGGGATAATCGTATGAAAACCAGGACGGAAACATTGATAATTTTAGAAAATTGATGGGTTAGATGTGTCTGAAATTACGATATAGAAAAAAAAGGAACAGTGCTTACTTGCATATGTACTTGAGCAGATTGTAATTAGGTAGAGGTAGAATGCTAACTTGTTTTTCAAGCTCTTGGACCCCCTGATACGAAGCATAAAACACACTGTAGCACTCACCCTCGATACAATCCCCCCCAGATAATATATTAATAGAAATAAATTGGCACAAACCTCTTCCTCATCTTTGGCCAAAAGTTGTGCACAAGTTAGGAAGTCTTCATATTTGGAGAAGGGGATGACTGGTTCAGGCAGCTCTCGTAGGTACAGTTTTAACAACGATGCCACGGTGTGGACTTCCGTGTTACTGCAAGGAGAGCACATGATTACATTTAAAAAAGAAACGTGGTAAAAGGGGCATTGGAGCTGTAAAAATATGAGACTTTTCCAACTCATAATCCAAAAAAAAGACCTCACTCCACCTGTCAAACAAAGGCTTGTCTCCGCAGTCGAAGGCCTCCTGGAGCTCCTTGACCAGATTGGCCTGTCCCGGCATCCGAAAGAGACCTTCCTCATCCAGACCCCGTTCCCGGATGAAGTCCACGCACTGCTCCACCAACAGCGGTGCCAGGCGGGGGCCGAACTTCCTCTCGTACTGCACCGTGTCCTCTAACCTCTGGCCAAATATCCCTGAGGGTGAACAAAGGAGACATAGAGCCGAAGCGTTCGTTGGATTAGAAGTTTGCCAGATTTTAGGCCTTAAAGATGTTGACGAGTATAAACTTTAAGCACTTTATGACTACCCCTATTACTTTTGCATGATAACAGCAAGAGCTACACTGTGATGTGATGTTCCTCGAAGAGGTCTGGAGATAGAGCGAGAAAAATCTGTTTTTAACAGTGCACCCTGAGCGCATCTTTGAAGAATTTGAAGAATTGGATGCTGCGAATTACCTGTTGGTTGACCGCAGCAGTCGCAGCTGCCCGACAGCTCGCAGTGCTCGTAGTACCTCACCGTACAGGAGCTGCACAGCAGCAGGGAGGGTTTTTTACGCAGGCCCAACCCACATTTCCCCAACCTATTCCAGTCCCTGTCTGGCACGGGATTGGGAATCTCGCCGGTCGAGGCATTTGTTTCCAGACGCCTGCTCGGCATAGGTGGACGAGTAGAGGTCAAAAAGACTAGAGGCGGAAGAGGGAGCGGGGACAAATGCGAGTGGCTGCAAACGAGGGGTCAGCCGCGCCTGACTATAGAGCCGCGGTTAACGACAGCCCTGCGAGTTGGCGACAGATCTATTCTGGACGTAGAAGTCACAGACGCCCCGAGCTGGTGAATCCGAGAGGGAGAGGCTGGAAATACGACCGAGGGACTGCGCAGACAGGAGCTCTAACCTAACCAACCGCCAAGCCCCCAGTCTGAGATCCCCTTCTGCATTTAGGGCGACATCAGTTTATTATGTGTCCGCTTTGTCTTAAAACTTTGCATGAAACAAATGAAAACATAGTTTGGACAAAGTTTGGTCACGAAAAGACTAGTTCATAAAGCTAAAGACACTGCATATCCATTTGTTTTCACTGACCGTAAATGAATATTTGAGAGTGCTTTTCTTCTTATCTCTACCTGCTTTGTCGACTTACGTTATCGTAAAGAAATCCTAAAAACGTTTTAGTTTTTCCAACAATAACATAAAAAACAAAAAAACATGGGTTTTGAATCAGATTCTGAATCTTATGATTAAAAGATTGCACTACATATAAATCACCTAAAAATAGAAGATGTATTCCCATTATTAAACATGAATGACTTGCAGGTTTGACCTTTTGTATTGATTCAAGTACAACTAATCTGGCCTGAAAATCACCCTCTCACTTGATAGATTACACCTGTAAACAAGACTTTTCCAAAATAGTTGAGTCTTTGTTATATCAAATATCAAAGAAAAAAAAAAAAGTACGTTGGGGACCCACATTGCCATAACAAAAAAGTGTGTCTTTGGAACGTAATTTTACTTACTAATAGTCTACATAGCAGTTTTTCAAGCTGGATGAACAAGTTTGTATTCACATTTAGAAGGGATATCAGGCTTCAAAGGCAATGTATTCTTTATCTTGGACTGGAAAATTGTCAATGAGGAATTTTAAAGTAAACAACAAAGTATGTATATATTTTTTACTGTAAAATAAAAAGTGCATTGTGAGAAATAATGGATATTAATAATCATGAAACTGGGTGTAGTTAAACTATAACACAGGGAAAATTTGTGTTTGCAAAAACATCACATTGACAGTGAAAAATGTCATACTTTGGTATTAGGCTGTCTAAGCCTGACCACACAGGGAGGATTTGATCCAGAGCTGCATGATCTGGACATAAGACCCTCAGGAAAAACTGTGAACGAGTTTAAACCTGACCAAAAAAACAAAAAAAAAATCCAGATCAAACATGTGATGTCACCCTGGTCAATGGTATAATGGTATGTTACATTTATGCTCCTATTAATATAGAGCTTATCTGCAACCCAACACCTTGCCGTTCAGCTGCCTTTCTGTGAGCTCTCAGCCAGACATGCCTGGGTTTATTTTTGCCCTTCTGTCAAGTTCACCAGTCTGACACGCAGGCGGGCGACAATTAACGGCAGGTCAGCTGCCGTATCGGATCCCAAAAACGGAAAAGGGGGAAAAAGGGTATCAGCTTTCAAATCCCTGATCGAGCGTGGGATTCGTCATTCAATTATTGGTGGAACTGAAAATGAGTATTAACACTCCAAACGGCAAGCTTAATGCCACATGATTTGGGGTCAAAGATCCAACAAACAAACAAAAAAGCCCAAAAGAAACTGTCTGAACTCTTTCACCTGCCCTATTTTTTTAAAATTTTCTATTCAATTCACAGCAGCACCTGACCGGAAAAGACCGCCTTCAGAATCTGGTCACATTTCTGCCTCCAGGTATCAGATTAAGACCAGGAACAGAGACACAACATGGAAGGACTGAGATTCAGTAAATTTGGGGCAGGAGATATGGTATTTTCCCACTTATACAGCGAGATCTCATTTGAAATGCAGTTGGGAGCCTTCAGGGCCGATAGGAAATGAAGACTTCTCGGCTTATGAAGGTATGCTTTCAAAGTTTATTGGCATAGAATTTAGAGAGAAATGTTTTCAAAACATCTTTCAGCTGTCTCGTGCAAAAAAAAAAAAAAAAAGCCTCGCGCTAAACTTCTGATTCGCAACTGTCACCGTTGTTGTAACTGAAAGCTGGTGATGTTAAAGACCCATTCCTTATGTTTCAGTTCAAAGGTCTGTGTTTACCTCCTCCGAACGGCGCCCAGATGACCCGCCGTATGGCCTTGACCCAGTCGTCCATGTCGGTCTGGGAGTTTGCCATGAGCAGGAAAGACTCATGGCTGACGGGGGCCCGCTCTTTCTCTCCGGTTCCGCCTGTGTGGGGGGGGGGAGGCAGAGGAAGTGTGTGAGCACAGCAGATCTTCTTTCATCCACATGATAACAAAAATGGTCACAAATGTTTTGTTCATGTGAATTTTTTATTCGTTAACCCTTTAAAGCCCAATCCAAGAATAAAACAAAACAGTAACTTACTTATTTTTTGTTTTAAGTCTATATTTGGCCTTTTGGCAAAATATGTCAAAAGAAAAAACAAAAATACATTTTTAATATTAATAATTTATTACTATGGGATAGGTCAAGATTATTTTTTGTGTAATCTTCTGTGCCCTGTTATCAGGTGTATCTGATTGTGTACAATAGGATTTTGAGCGAAGTTTTTACCATTAAATTATGCAAAAGGTGTCAGACGCAAAACATTTCAGAAACCGTATGTATCAGATATGATATGTTTGGCATTACAGGGTTAAATATTGAATTGGGAAGAGGAAAAGAGATGTTTGGATGCACCAAATGTTCATATAACCTTCAAGAGTGCAGAGAAAGATTTCTGGTTAAATTATATTTTCTCAAGTTTCTTTTTTTTGACTGACTTAAAAAAACGAAACAAAACAAAGACAACAAACCTGAATGTTGCAATTATGGCTTCAAATATTTCCTGATCAGTGCTTAACTGTGATTGGAGCCTTTCTTTTAATACATTTTTTACAGAATCTCTTAAACGCGTGGTCAAAAAACAACATCCAGTTCCTGTTCCTCAACACAAGATGGTGCAGATGTTCTGCTGACCTCCTGTTCCAGCTCTGTGGCCGACCCAGACCAACCGGTGGTGAGCTCAGAGGCGGAAAGGGCCTCATTTTGGTTTTTATGGAACACTTAGTATGACAACGGCGACTGTGAAAGGTGTCACATAAAAATACGAAAAAAACACAATGACGATTCAGCTGTATGCAAGATGGAAATTGCCCCTCGTTATGTTGACGTCTTATTCCGGTGTGTGCACGGGACTTCTTTTAGCTGCATTCTGCAGTATTTTAAAGGAATGTCGCTACAGTCGTTGTCGTCCGAGTCATTTAGCTGCGAGAGGCGAAGCCAAATTTAAACAGCGGGGGCCATAAAGCTCAGGGCCATTGTCACCCAGCTTTTCAAAGTCGCACTGTCTTGATGAAAGCCGCTCCGCTGTCTGGCTGCAAAAAAGCAGGGGGGGTCAACAATTATCATTACGGGTCGCTTCTCCGATCATGAACACAAAGACGTCATCTGTACGCCATCGTTTTCAAACTTGCCATTTGGAAAGCAAATGGAAAAAAGGCGATCGTCGAACATTTAGAGGAGAGGGAAGACATTAAGGAGGATGAATCCAGTATTTCATACACTGATAAGGCACAGGCTGAGCCATTTAGATGAGTCCCAACATAGCCAGCAGGCATCAGAACTCTGGGAACAGCCATGCTCAGATTGACAAGCAGTCCGAAGATCCCTTTAGGAGGCTATTAAGATAACACTGAGAGCGGGGGGCCCTTTAGGTAAATCTGATTGTAGTCCCTCCACGCAGCGATCAGACAAGAAGCTCACATTTAAAAACTGCGACCAGGCCGAATGTTTACAGCGTGCGCACTTCTGCTTTCACGGAACATACACCCCTGGAGAAATACTGCCTCTCTTTTTAAATGTCAGGCAGCTCTCAGGCTCCTCCGAACGGGAGATAAGCGGAAATTAAGGATTTTTTTCCTTCTCTCTTTTCTTTTAAAGCGCAGAAGACAAATCCTTTCCTTTTTCTGAGGTGTCTGGACATCAGCATCCAAACTGGCTTTGATCTGTCGGGTGAAATAACGCTTTTGAGGCTGCCGAGCATCCAGTGGCTTGAAGAGGCTTGGCCAAGAACCCCCTAAGAATGTTGTGCCGTTACCTAACAGCACAAGTCCAGCGCCGGTTGTGTAACGGCGTCAGCAGACTGTGTGACCGCCAGTTAGCTTAAGACCTGACCATTTCATGCAGAGCTCAAGTTTTCTAATGAGGGAAAACTGGGTGTTCCATAATAGTTTAAAACAAGTCGATTCCTTAATGTAAAATTACCCAAATCCAATGGGTCTGTACAGGACTGGGTGTTTACAGAGAGTTGTAATAACAAACAACGAATGGGAAGGTACATGATTTTGATGGTCCTTTTCTTTGTTGGAGAAAAATAGAAAAAAGTCAACAGCTGACTTCAAAACAGATGGAAGAAGAACTTCCTACTAATAGACATGAGCCATGGTAAAAATGAGAAATTTCAGGGTCATGGCGAGCAGTTATCACCTCTTCTCAGGAGCAAAGGAGCTAAATGATGAAAATAGAGATAAATGATGAATATTTGTGTTGGTTTTCATTGGTGTAGACCACATCTGTATTGTTAGGAAATCAAATTAGACAAAGAACTCACAACCTTTCCTCCTGGTCGCTATGTGATACAACTCTATTGGTAATATTGCAGACACAGCTTATGTTGAAAAGCCACAGAGTTTCTCTGCTGACCCCCCAGCAGCTTTTTGCTGTGTGTAAGCACACACTGAGATGGTGCTGAGTTTCTCTGTTTGGTATGTGTACATTACTAATGAGAAAAAGCAGCTCTCTAATACGGGTGCTTTAATTTGCAGTGGTAAGACAAAATCTATGTAACGAAATGTAGCTAAACACTAAGTTTATCATGTAAAGTATACAGTAAAAGTGTAAAAATATTAGAAAAAAATGAGCCGAACCTCGTCCTATTATTAGTTTTTAGTTGGACATTTTCTTGTCGAATAAGACGATTATGGAAGTAAATATGTGCCATCAGAATTTGAATAAAAAATACCTCTGAAATTTGAATGTTGTATATTAGTGCTTACTTTTTCAGTATTAAAATAAATTTAGAATATATTTTTAACCTACAAAAAATTCAATGTCATTATTTGTACATAAAAAAAAAATTCAGTGTA